CCTGCATCAGGCTCCACAGTCAGCGTAGAGTTTGCTTGAGATTCTCCCTCTGTCCCTTCCCCCATGCTCGCTTGCTCGCTCACTCTCTGTAAAATAAATAAATATATCTAAGAAAAAAACCAGAATTAGATTTAAAATTTAAATGTGTAGAATGAAGAGGTGTGAGCAGAGTGAAGAGCAGGCAGTGACCAGAGGCAGGAATGATGTGGCCAGTCGGGGGGGGGTGGGGACTGGAAAGTTTGAAGGGCAGGATGGGAACAGATTGTGGAAGAGTCTGATGGCCATGATGAGCCACAAGCCAGGACACATCAGGCATGTGCGTTTTGGGGTGATGTGATTCCCTTGGGTTGGGGAGAGAGGATACATATGGGGTTTAGGAAGGTTGAGGGCTGGTGGAAGCATTTGGGAGCGGCAGTGGTTGCTCTTCGTCCCTGGTTCTTTTCCTGCAACCCTGCCACGTGTAGCTCAACCCCGTCCAGGCTTTTCTGCCGCTTGTTCCCAACAGAGCCACATTGGGGAAGCTCTTCCCCCGGAGATGGTCACCAGACTCTATGACGGCATGCGGAGGGTTGACCTGACGGGGAAGGCCATGAGGCCCAGTGACAGCGTCTCCCAGGAGCAGTTCACCGTGTCCATGTCCCACTTGTTGAAGGGAAACTCGGAGGAGAAGAGTCTTGTGATCCTGAAAATGATTTCTGCCACAGAATGTCCTGTGAAAGCAAGAGAAGTCCAGAAGGTAGAGAGGCCACGAGGCCCTTTGCAGCCATGCGAAGCAGCCTTGGGATCCTAAGGTGGGGACTTGGCATGACTGCACAGCCGGTGGAGGCACAAGGAGATGCCCCCTCGGGGACCCTAGACCACATCACTGGTGAGGTCAGGACTGCTGGATAGAGGCCTTGGTGAAATAGAGCTTGAACACCTACCTAAGTAATGTAATCTCTTCCCACATTGTGACCCATTGTAGTCGGCATTGAAAAGATAAAGCGCCCTTCCCTGTATTGATATGATGTAGGTTGTGGGTCACGGTGGAAATGTGACGAATGGTAAAACTGTGGTCTTGCAGTTTACAGAGGATCTGGTTGGCTCTGTGGTTCATGTGCTCAACTACAGACAGGAGCTGAGAGGCTGGACCCAGAAGAGAGGCCCAGGGCCCCCCTCCAGGGTGCAGGTGCTGGCCGCCCAGCTCTTCTCCGAGATGGACCTCCGAGGCAAGTGCCCTGCGTGCTCACCCACTGAGTCCTTGACACGTAGACTGGTACCACGCGGTCTGGGTCATTGTAGCGAGGTTTTGAAATCCGATACGTGAGTCCTCCCGATTTGTTCTGATTATCGTGTTGGCCGTGAAACATGCCTCGTGACAAATTTAAAAGGACTGAAATCATACAGAGTATGATTCTTCAATGACAGTGGAAAGAAATTACAAATCAGTAAGGAGGCATTTGGGAAATTCACAGATATGCAGAAATTAATGTAATTGTTCCTAGTATTTTTTGTAATACTTAACTCTGTAAGATCATTAGTGATGTCCCCAGTTACGTTTTTGTTTTTGTTTTTTTAAGCTTTTATCTATTTGAGAGAGAGAGACAGAGTACCAGTAGGGGGAAGGGCAGAGGGAGAGGGAGAAGCAGACGCCCCAGTGAGTGCAGAGCCCAACCCAGGGCCCGATCCCAGGACCCTGAGATCATGACCCGAGCCAAAGGCAGATGCCAATGGATTGAGCCACCAAGGCACCCCCCGCCCAATTTCATTTCTGATTTTAGTTATTTGAGGCTTTTTATTTTCTTGATCCGTCTAGCTGAAGGTCTATCAGATTTTGGTGGATGTTTTCAGAGAGCCAACTTTTGATATAGTTGGTTTTCTCTGTCTCTTCATTCCTCTCTACCCTAGTCTTTTCTTACTTTCTGGTTGTTTCACATTTAGGTTTACTTTCTCTAGTGTTCTGAGGTTGAAGGTTAGGTTATTGATTTGAGATCTCTCTTCTTTTTCAATATAGGTATTTACAGCTATATATTTACCTCTAAGCACTGCTTTAGCTGCATCCCGTAAGTTTTGGTGTGGTGTGGTGTGGTGTGGTGTGGTGTGGTGTGTGTGTGTGTGTGTGTGTGTGTGTGTGTGTGTGTGTGTGTTCAACCCTCTCAGTATCTTCTAATTTGTGATTCCTCTTTTGGTCTGTTGGTTACTTAGATGTGTGTTATTTGACTTCTACATGTTTGAATTTCCTAAGTCGCCTCTTGTTGATTTATAATTTCTTACCATTGTGGTTGAAGAACATACTTTGTATGATTTTAGTTCTTTAAAATTTACTGAGGCATGCTTCATGCACTAATGTACGATCTATTCCGGAGAATGTTCCATGTGCCCTTGAGAATAATGTGTATTCTATCATTAGAGGAGAAACCGTATACATTTGAATTTACTTGGGATTTGAAAATACTTGTGGTGAATCTCTTTGCAAAGTAGATTTGTTTTTATAAAAGCATTATTTTATTATAAAGCTGGATTTTAAAATGCAGTTTGAAAATAGGTCCTATTTCAAAAATCAAGTGATGAATTTGGAACTTGGACAGGAGAATAACATAACATATGTAAAATACCAGTGGTCGGCCTTCTGCTATCACCACCGTGTCACCTCCATTCTTGGTGGGTAAGAGAGAAAACAAGACTATGGGGTTAAGCATAATTCTTTGTTAATGACACCCGTTCTTCCCAGATAACTGGCGGTGGGCATGTCTCGTAAGTTACAGCCCCCGCCCTCACTCACCTGGAGGGTGTCATGCTTCTAGGGCCTTTCGAAATGGCTGTGTTTGGTGGAAGACCCTTGAAGAGTGTTTTTTGGCGTGGCTCTCTCGGGAACACCTGCAGAGGGCTTCAGGGCTGGGCGCAGGGGTGAGGCTTGGCTGTCTCCTGGGCACCTCACGTGCAGCTTGCAGAGGAGAGAAAAGATGGGTGTGGATGTCGAATTGTTGAGATCAGTGCCCGCGCCAATGCAAGCCACGTGTGAAATGTTAAATACTCCAGTAGCCACATGAAAGGAGCAAAAAGGAATGGGAATTACTTCTAAGATGTCCAAAGTATACTTGAACATCGGCAATCAATGTAAAAAGTGAGGGAGATCTTACACTTGCTTTTTCACACCGGCTTTTTGGAATCGGGTGTGTTTTATACTTCCTGCACAGCTCCGTCCAGACCAGCCAGATGTCAACCCCTCAGAAGCCACATGTGGCTCCCACGTTGGGCTGCGCAGGTGCAGGGAGTGGATGTCAGGTAATGTGGCCACACGCCTTGGGTCTGTCCCTCCCCTAGGTGGCGAGAAGATTCTGGGGCCTCAGCAGCTGGACTGTGAGTGTGACCGAGCCACCATCGAGGACTGGGTGTTCAGGGCCCCCCACGTGGCCACGTTTCTGAGTGTGGTCATCCACAGAGGCTTCCTCCTCCTGTGCTCCTCCCTCGACCTGACCACCCTGGTCCCCGAGTGTCACGTTGACCAGGAGAGGGTGTTTGAGAGCATCCTGGACGTCCTGTCGGTCATCTACATCAACTCCCACCTGCGCAGGGAGCAGCAGGGCCGTTGGCACCTGCTCTTCTCGTCTGAGCTCCATGGGCACAGCTTCGCGCAGCTCTGCGGCCACATCACCCACCGGGGCCCCTGCGTGCTGCTGTTGGAGGACCACGATGGCCAGGTGTTCGGCGGGTTTGCCTCCTGCTCCTGGGAGGTCAGGCCTCAGTTTCAAGGTGAGGCTGGGTCCCCTGCCCCGCACGCGGTCGCACGGTGCTCCTGGAGAGTTCGGTCTCATGGCTTCTGCCTGGGGACCCATGAGCTGACCGAGGGCATGCGTGTCCGGAGCCTTTCTTCCGGCTCCTCCGAATGCTTCTCAGGACACAGTCGGGAGGACAGTAGGAGATGCTGCTCTGTGTGGTCTAGCGCTTCCTGGCTTTCTTGTGATTCTGGCAACAGAGGAGGGGACACAGGACAGGCCCACCCTGGGTCTCAGGCGAGGAGGCGGGGGCTCGGCGTTATTAAACCACACAGGGTCTAGGCCACGGGGGAGGCTGGGCTGTGGTGCTTCCACTGGTCAGTCCGATGGATGGATGTTCTTGCGGGCCGCCCCCCATCCCTGGACAGCCCTGTTCTCCACTGGTGCATCTGCCCTGCAGGGTCTGCCTTTCCCTTCTGCCGTGGTCACCCGGTCTTGTGTTTTTTTGTTGCAATTTGAGCACTCATTGTGTGGCTTTCAATGCACTGGATGAAAGTCTTAGAAGTAAATTTTTGCCCTTCCTTAAAGAAATGTGTTCGGTCAACATTTTTCTTTTCTTTTTAAAGACTTTATTTATTTGACAGGGCAAGAGAGCACAGAGGGGGACAGGCCGAGGGAGAAGCAGGCTCCCTGCCGAGCAGGGAGCCCAGTGCAGGGCTCAGTCCCAGGACCCTGGGATCATGACCTGAGCTGAAGGCAGATGCTTAATCATCTGAGCCGCCCAGGCGCCCCTGATCAACATTTTTCAAGGGTCATTGATCCCCTGGGCGGTGGGCTGTTCTCGGACTCAGAGCTGTACCTGCCTTCCCAGGTGTGGCATCCCCGTAGGTGCCTCGGTGTGTGGCCCTGGCTGCCCGAGCCCGTGTCTTCAGTGAGTCTCCCCAGCGGTGAAATGGGGGGGCCTTTCCCAGAGGCTCTGAGACCCGATGCAGCCCCGCTCTCACACCCAGGAGCCAGATGGTTAATACCCTTCCTGTCCGGGTCCCTAGATGTGACAGACCAGTGCCACAGGGTCCTCCGGGACAGGGACCGCGAGTCTGAATGGGAGGGTCCTCTCGCACCCCCCACCTTCTCTCATGCTGTTCCGTCTGCGTTGCTGTGGGGACCTCCTAATCAGCCCCCCTGGTTTCCATCTTGTCCTGCAACCCATTTGCCGCATCCCAGGACGTCTGACAGGGCGGCCTCTCTTGAGACCCCGAATGCTGCCTGCAGGAGGCGCATCTCCTGTGCGCAGCCTCATGACCCGCGCCTGTCCCCTGGTGCTCCCTGCTCTGTCTCCTCAGACTGCCTGCGGGCTGGGCTCCCTCTCATTCTCGGACTTGGCACATGCTGCGCTTTCCCTCCTCCCGACCTGTTTGCATGACCAGCTCCTTGCTGGGACTCGGCCCAAGGTCACCTCCTCCAGGAAGCCTTCCCAGACCTGGGAGGGCCGTGTGTGTCGTGTGTGTCCTCTGTCGTACTGCACACCTCTGCACACCTTCCCTCTACGAGGCAAGCTTCTGCAGGCCGGGAGGCCGCATCCAGGTGCAGAGTTGACATTACGAGGGAGATCATAGTAGCTGCGGGTTGGGGGACGGGAATCAAGCAGAATCCCTGAGGTCCTGTTGTTTCTAGGGTTTCGTTTTTCCAAGGTTTCAGAATATGTCAGATCTTTAATCCACTAGCTGCTACTAGCTCTTCCCCACTGTGTCCGGGATCCCCAAGACCACCCACATGTTGGGGACTCCCTAGGAGGACCTGCAGGGCTCAGGGTACAGTCACCCTCGTGGCCACGATTAATTGTAGCAAGAGGACCTGGATAAGATCGGCAGAGGGACAGGCACCAACTTCCAGAGCCCTCTCCCGGGGGTCACACAGGACGCACTCGATTCCCCAGCAGGGTTCTCCAGCAGCGATGCCCGTTAGGGGCTCAGCGCCTGGGTTTTCCTGGGTGCCGGCTCTGAGGGCACCCAAATGCCAGAGTCCGGGAGGAAAGCAGGTGTTCTGCATCAATCACACTGTTTGCACAGGGAGCCCCCCTTACCATTTCTGGGAGTGGGGGACCCTCCCCGAATCCACGGTCCCAGATGCCAGCCCAGGGGCCTTTCTGGGGGCGTCTCAACCCTGCTGCGTTTGCTCACTTCTGCACCCCCACCTTCCTTGTCACAGTGTCTCGGGGCATGAATGGGGGAATGACGAGCTGCTGTCTGCAGTGTTGGAGGCCGTGCTTTAGGGCACGGAGAATCCTAACAGGTGACCTTCCACTTCTCCCAGCTCCTTGGGTATTAACTCCATGTTGGCTCCGCTGGTCTTAGTGTTAGATTAAGAAGCAGGATTAGGCTCCCCGAAGAACAGTGGAAACACACAGTTGGCAGGTTTTCAAACTTGAGTCCATGCTGTCCTGAGACATGAGGGTGGAATTCCAGCAGAGGGCAGCCTCGCATCACAGATGCGGTCATGTTCGGCGCCTTCCAGTCCGTTTGGCCTGGAAGCTGTCCTAACCTTGCAGACGTGAGGTGATGTAGCAGCCGGGGAGTCCCTTCCTTGAGGTTTACCGTTTCTGCGTTTCTGCGGTGCGGTGGAAAGACCCGCGGCTTTGGGCTGAGCAGCAAGGGGCTTGCTTTGTCCGGGCCCCGGTCCCTCAGAATTGTGCGAAATGGTGCTGTGTGGGATCGTTGATGTGAGCTTGTCCCCACTCTGGTCACTTCCAGGGGATGACGCATGCTTCCTGTTCTCCATCTACCCCCGCATGGCCGTGTACACCTCCACGGGTTATAACGACCACTACATGTACCTGAATCACGGGCAGCAGACCATCCCGAACGGACTGGTAAGGGCTTAGGGAGAGCAGGGGCTGTCCCACCTGCGTGATGTCCTTCCTGCCACGGGGTCAGTCCCGACGTGCCCAGGCTGACACTTCCCTACGAGTCAGGGGAGCTGTATGCCTTTGGTTATAGGCGTGGGCCGTGTTCACTCCATTCTGCCTGGGTCTGAGTGCCATGGCACGTGACAGGACAGAATTCTCTCCTGCAAGGTCGGGCTCTGCTGAGGCATGTCCGTGGTTTGTGTGCAAACAGTGGATTCGCCACTTTTTCTGGGGTCAGCTGGTTGGGCTGTGGCCTTTGTGGCTGGAGATGAGCTGGGAGAGGGGCACGCCCAGATCTGGGCTCCCTGGCCCCATCCGGAGTTGTCCCCGCGTGACTCGTAAAACTGGGGCTCCCATCAGGGTGAGTGCACCTACCGTCTGCTCCGTCTGCAGCCCGGAGACTCAGCCACGGGAGGAAGAGGGCGAGGAAGCAGGCGAGGGGTGGGCGCCAGGGCCAAGGGGAGGAGCTGGGTTGGGTGTCCCCGCGTGTGCACCCCTCGCCCCGCACCTGTGAGCCTGCTTAGTTTGGGTGAGACATGGGTCTCCTGCCAGCACCCCAGCCGATTCCTTTGCTGCTTAACACAGAGCACCTTTTGGGAAATTCCAGCTCTGTGCTTGCAGAGCTGAGGAGCCCAAGAAGGCTGGTCCAGCTTGTCAGGTTGGAGAGGGCCCCAGTGCTCCTTCCCGGGCTCACTGTAAGGCACCTGTGGGCCCCCTGAGGACCCCGGACACCTCCCAGAAAGGACAGTTGGGTGGCCTCAGGAACAGCACCCAGTAGGTCCTCAGGAATCACCAGTAATCAGCCCAAGAGAGAAGCCGCCCTGAGAGTCGTCATTTTCTGGTCTGGTCTCCCTCTCAACCTTGGTACCTGGCCTGCCAGGGGCCCGAGAAGGCAGTGGTAGAGGGGGCATCGGGGAAGGTCATCTGGAGGCTGAACGGTGGTTTTGTCTTGCCGGCCACAGGTGAGCGTGACGGTGGGGCGATGGATGGTGGAGAGATTGGGTGTGAGTCACCCCCAGGTCTGCGTCCTGTTGGTTGTCCCTGCGGTTGGCCCCACACAGGAAGTGACTCCCGGCTGAGCAGCACCCTGTCTGGGGGCCCAGTAGCTGGTTTTCCAGCGTCAGGATCGGTGCTGACCTCCCCCCCCTTAGTTGAATGCTTTGGGTCTCTGGGCCCTGGTCTGAATCCTTTTTTTTTCTGGTCTTCTGCTGTCACCTGTGCTCCCAGCCAGTGTGGCCCCAGGAGAAGGAGCCGTGGGGTGGGCGTCTGGACGCCTTGGTTATTTTAGTAGCTTGGACGGGATGTTTAAATTGCAGCCCTCTGTGTGTTTCCAGTTTGAAAAAAGGGAAGAAAGCCGCGTCCACCTCTTACTGGCCCTCCTGTCAGCCTGGGTCTTGCGGCTGATGCAGGCTCGGAGGGTCCGGCAGCTCTGACTGAGGCGGCCCTGCTCTTGCCCCCGCAGGGCATGGGAGGACAACACAGTTACTTCGGGCTGTGGATCGATGTGGATTTTGGGAAAGGACACAGCAAGGCCAAGCCCAAGTGCACCACATACAACAGCCCTCAGCTGTCGGCCCAGGAGAACTTTAGCTTTAAGAAGATGGAGGTGTGGGCAGTGGGGGACAGCTCAGGGTCGCAGCAGGTGAGCGGGGTGGGTGGGGCACTGCTCCACTCTCTGCAGGCTACCTTCTTACTGCTCCGTCTGGAGGTAGTTTATTCTAAACTCGGGCCCAGCAGTTGCTGCTGGACAGAGATGCTAGTGGGTGCACAGCAGGGCTGGGAGTCCTGTCGAGGTCCGTGGGGTTTCGTAGAGTGGACCCTCCTGGAGGCAGGGACCTGCCCAAGGTGGGAAGCTGCTGGGCACATGGCCCGTCTACCAGATGAGGAAGGTCCAGGCTTCCTTCTCGTCCCGTGGTTCTGTAGTGAGCCATTCTTGGGCCCTCTGCACCCCAAGACCTCCCAATGATGGTATCCCGGGGTCAGGGGTACCTCTGTGAGAGTGCCGGAGCCCCCACGGTGTTTTCCTTGTGGCAAAAGTAGGGGTCCTACTGTCATGAGCTTGGAACCGGCAGGACGTCCCTGCTTGTTCTTGGCTGTGAGGGAGACGTTCATGTCCCTTTCCTTCTTCCCAAGGCCAAGAGCAGCAAAAGCATCCTGGATGTGGACCCTGAGGCCCAGGCCCTGCTGGAAATCAGTGGGCGGAGTCGCCACAGCGAAGGGCTCCGGGACGTCCCAGAGGATGAATGAGGAGGTGCCCCCGAGCTCAGGCCTTCCTGGAGCTGGATGCTGGCCCCCTGGACAGAGCGCAGCCTGCGGAGCCCTCCCCCATCTCACGTGTTCAACAGGGCTGCACTGTGCGTGTCCAGGCGGTCCAGGACATGCTGAATCAGAACACAGTAAAATTCCTTTGATGTTATGTATGGATTGGTGGGTGCATCTTGCAGAAATCCCGAGTGTCCATTAGCAACTTAATCCTTGTATGCTGTTCATTTTTCGTCAATTGAAATCCGGAGACATGGACAGGACCTGTACCTGCGTTAGCGTCCGATGGGCACGTGCGTTCCTGCCATGCAGGGCGGGGCTCTGCCTGCTGGGGGTCACCTGGCCCCTGCTCGAGCCATTGCAGTTAAAAACGTGCCTTGATGTCCCATTCCAGCTGATAAAGGGCAGAGGCATTGGGATGTGAGTCTCAACGCCTTTTGGGAGCAGCTTCCTATGACCTGAAATTTCTGTATTTGTAAAAAACAAACAGCGAGAGAGCAGGTGTCCCCGTGGGGGGGAGGGTCCTCCATAGGTGTTTGTAATAAGATTCCTCCCCCACCTTTCTCAGCTGCTTTTAAATGAGTCTGTGCCATGGTCTACGGAGGTTCCAGGTGGTTCTGTTACTAACCTAAATGTGGGGAATTCGCAAGCTCCGAGACATCCCGTGGCATGGATTAGTGGTGAGTAACTTGACCGTACTGGCCTGGGTTCCTGACCCTGGCACCACCTCCTCAGTGTCTGCCTCCGGCTCAGTGGCCCCCAAAGGGGTGACGGGTCATTTGACAGCAGGGACTCACTTGAAACGGACTCGAGTGACCCCGGCATGCTGACCGATGACCTGGGTGGGTGTCTGAGGCCGGGCAGGAGAATCTAAGCCCGCCGTGAGAAGTCCCTCCTTCACGGACGGAGCCGTGGGCTTGGCTTGGACACCTGCGCCTCCTCCTGGGTCTTTTGCTGTAAGATTGGACCTTCTGCACATCTGATGAGAATGGGGCCTTTTACTATAGAATGGGCCTGCTTATAAGCCATAGTAAACCAAGCCGTTTGCATTTTGCAGGTGCTGCATTTTCTCCCAGGAGGCTCCCCCAACTTGGCACTTAGCAGTAACCCTGATTGAGCAGAAGGCCTTGCAAATGAGCTTTAAAAAAGAAAAGTGCGTGCCCAGGCAGTATGCGGAGGGGCAGCAGACTGACATGCACAGACGTAGTCATAATTGATTTTCCTCCTAAAAAGCCAGTTTTTAATAAGCTGCTCGGGGAACATCGTGTGATCCCCCCAACCGATGGGTTAGCAGATGGGAGGGTGAGGCTCCTCAGATCCTTACCATAAATCCAGAGAGTTAGGTCAGTCCTGCACCTTTCATCTGTTTTGGAATTTCTTTTTTTAAAAAAGCAACTGAATACCTCACTAATAACAGGCCTGTTGGTATTTGTACCTGAAGTCCCATTGCTGCTTCCTCTGCTCAGGGCTTTCAGAGAGGCTTGGATTTTGTTTGTGGGCACACTCGCCTTGTGTCTCTTCTCATCAGAGGGCAGGTGACAGGCAGGGACCCATTTCCCAGGACGGCACGCTCGCACAGGGAAAGGCGGGTGCCCAGCCCAGGTGCTTGGCCACCTGGGGGTGCAGCCCTGCCAGTGGGCTTCTCTCGCTGTGAGGTTCTCCGCACACAAACCTGTCAAGGGTGTGGCCAAGGTGAAGGCCACCAGACCTGGCCACCCTCCCTCCGCCCGGGCCTGGGAAACACGCGGTGCTGGTTTTAACAGTGAAGAGGTGGTTCTTTTATGCAACAGAAATAAGAATTCAGGGCCAGTGGTTTTCCTGTGAATGAAGACCAGTCAGGGCCCCGGAAGGTGCCGGAAGGAAGACGTAAAGGGATGGGGCTCATGATGCAAACAGGGCTACCGTTACTCCCCCCACCCATGTTGTCTTTATTAAAACAATGGCCATAGGTGGACATGGTAAAAAAAAAAAAGGTTGAACTATGAAGGATGTAACTTGAAAGATAAATCTTCCTGCAGCCATTTTCCTTCCCAAAAGGCAAAGCCACTCAGGAGAAAACCGCTTAGGTCTCCGGACACAGGGGACCCACTGCACGCCCAGCAGAGTTGCGTCTGCTACACTGGTGTGTGCCCTGCTTGTTCTTGGTGGAGGTGGTTTCAAAGCGACCCATCTGTCTCCCTCTCTGACGTCATGGACCGTGCCATGCCCCGGGATGCGGACGCCCCATTGTTGCTGGCGCCCAGCCTCTGCGGCCGGGGACTGTCTGTGGCTGGTCCGGATGTGTGTCTCGGTGTGCGTTTTGTCCGGAAGAATGAACTCGCAGAAGTTGAATTGTTGGATCAAAAGATGCTTCTTAATTTAGATGCTGACAAATGAGCAAACCTCGAGTTCAGTTGATACTCCTGACGTCCCTCCGTGCCTGTTGGCCGTGTATATGCCGACACTCCGTTAAAGCTTAGTTTTTGTGGACCTGGTATTTTCTCTGAGTGACAGTGAAGGGCTTCAGTTTTCAAACGCCGTCTGTGTCCTGCCCTTCACCTGTTTTTCTGGGATGTGGGTTTTCTTCTTGCTGATTTGCAAGAGTGCTTTTTCAAATGAAGCATTTGTTTGCTAAGTATTTTTTCCAGTTTGTTTGGCTTTATTTTCCTATGTGTAAATTACGCATTTTGTCCTTTTTTATCAGCATTTCCTCTTAAGGCTTCTGAGATTTGTAGTTTGCTTAGAAAGTTTTTTTCCCCACTCTGTGATAAAAAAAAAAAAAAAAAAATTGTGTTTTCTTCTGCTTCTCTGCTTTCCATTTTTCCTTCTAAATTTTTGATCCATTCACAATGTAATTTAAAATGTACCTCTATCTTGCCCCAAATGAATTCCAGTATCTTTTATATTTAATGGTATGTTTCTTTCCCACTGACTTAAAGTACTGTTCTCTTGGGGCGCCTGGATGGCTCAGTCGGTTAAGCCTCTGACTCTTGATTTTGGCTCAGGTCATGATCTCAGGGTCGTGAGATCAAGCCCCATGTCAGGCTCTTCACAGGGCATGGACCCTGCTTGGGATTTTCTCTCTCTCCCCCTCTGCTCTTTCCCCACCACCCCCAAAGAAGGGGAGGGGGAGGGAGTAGAGGACCACTTTCTCAACCCCTGCATTTCTATATGAACTTCAGTCTCTGCCTCATGTTTTAAATACTGGAGTTTGATGAGAAAAAGAGGTAAGAGCTATTCACTGATGACTTCTCTGTTTTGGAAATTTCCTTCCTATGCTTGCCTGTTTGTTTTCTCTGACCTTGAGTAACCCTTCTAAAAAGTTTGATGGTTGCATTTTGGAGATAGCCTTAAATGTGGATCAGTGTAGGCAGAACTGACACCTGGCAGAGGTGGCTTCCTCCTGCCCCCAAGGACGGGAACATCTAAGTGTGCCACCTAGATTTCGTTGTTACTGCTGGTACCGTACGTGGACTTTTTTCCCTGATGATTGATTGAACATAGGAAGGTTTTTAAGTTTTTCTACCTAGTTTTGTACCCAGCTACCTTGCTGAATTCTTTGATCTGGGGGTTTTCAACCTTAGGTCTGTGTCAGAATCTTCTAGAAGGCGTGCTGAAGGGCAGGTGTCAGGGCTCCACGCCCAGAGTTTCTGACTCCTTAGGCTGGGGAGGGAGCTGAGAGTGGACATTTCTAATGAATCCCCAGGTCCGGTGCTGCTGGTTTTGGGCTCCCCTGATTTCTTCTTTTTCCCTGCAGCCTAACTGAGCTATAACTGATACCTACAACGTGTTGAGTGCACTTCCTATGATTGTGTACCTGGAAGTGGGGATAGCTTCCCTGCTCTTGCAATTTCTAGACCTTTTCTTTCTCTTGATTGATTGTATCAGCAAATACTTTCAGAATTTCAGTAGCAGTGATACTCCCTTCCTACTCCTGACTTAAATGGAAACGCCTCTGGTCTTTTGTCATGAAGCAGGATAGGTTTTCGTGTAAAAGAAATAATCCTTTATTTGTATTTATGTTAAGAGTTTCTGTCCAGATGTTGAATTTTACAAGAAGTTTTTTAACACCCATGATTGTCTGATTCAGAGTTTTTAAATAAGGAATACCAAGTCAGTAGGGCGCCAAACACTGAGCTGCGTTTGTATGTCAACTGACGCGCTTCGAATGTGTGAATTCAGTCAGACTGTGTTCGGTACTTTTGTAGCCGTGTGTACAAAGGAGTTGGTGTGTAGTTTTGTTTGGGTCTGATTTTATGTAAGTCATGCTTTAAAGTTGTGCTGACTAAGCTTACAAAAACAATTTAGAACGTTCCTTTTCTGCAGGTTCTAGAACAAAAGCAAATGAAAGTCCCTTGAGGTATGGGTAAAATTCATCAGGAACTTTTTGGTTTGGCGGGCAAGGAGGGGCGAGCACTTGAGGACCTCATCCATGTCTCTTGTCATCTGGGTGGTTTTAGATGTCTGCTGGGGTTCATTCTGATGATTTTTAAATTTCCTTTTTTTTTTTTAAGCTTTTATTTATTAGAATGCAGGAGCAGGGGAGAGGGGGAGAGGCAGAGGGAGAAGCAGGCTCCCCGCTTAGCAGGGAGTCCAACTCGGGGCTCAATCCCAGGACCCTGAGATTATGACCTGAGCTGAAGGCAGACACTTCACCGACAGAGCCACCCAGGCGCCCCAGATTTTTAAATTTCCTGGTAAGTTTTTCATTTTATATAAATCTTCAAATTACGTAGGATTGACCGAAGTACGTGAAATCTTCTATAGTTGTGGGCTTTTAATTGCTGTCACTTTTCCTACATGACGTTGTACCAGTTTTGTTTTTTGAAGTTAATTGTGCTTGTATAGTATCTTCTCCAGCTTGTTTGTTTTACAAATTTGAGTTGATTGTCAAATTACTAAATAAAAAAGAGTGGAAGTAAGTATATAAGTAGAGGTGTTACTTTCTTCTTCGAGCTCTGTCTTCTTTGGCACTGCGTCGATTCTGAGGGGCGTGTGTTCATGGTTGGCTTCTAGATTTTCTGCCATTCTTACTCCGATTTCTACTTAGACCCAGGAGGTTTAAAATTTTGGTGTGCTGCAGAATTTTCCTACAAATGGTGGTGTTGATTTTCAGTTTTGCTGATTAGTGATTCGAAGAATTGAGTTTTAGCTGTGTCCTTACACGTGGCCAGTCGGTCTGCTACTGAATTTTCTGTACGCTTTGCTACATTTTCCATATGGTGCTCTGTGAATTTGGACGCTGTGTTGGTGCATGCCCTGGCCTCTTCAGGTTTTAGTGGTGATTGTGTCTCATTAAATTCCCTTCCTGGCTCTCCTAATGCTTTTGGCCTCGATTTTCACCTTGTCTGACATTGTGTCACCCCAGTGTGTGTGGTGTTTGCCTGATGATTGTAGCTCGATTTTGAGTCTGTTTTGTTGTTGTTTTTTTTTTCTTATAAACTTTGAAATAATGTAGATTGACATAGAGTACCGGGAGTTCCTGTGGACTACTCACCCAGCTTCCTCTAATGAAAACGTCTTTCCTACCCCTAGCACAGTTACCCAAACCAGGACATTGGCGTTGGTACAATACTCTCAGCTAAACACCAACCTTGTTTGAATGCCACCGGTTTTTCCATAGCACTTGATTTTAGGCCAACTCAAGGCTAAGGGCACAGTCCTCCTGGTTGGCAAAGCTGCCCAAGCCTTCTGATACCCACTACTAGTTCAGAGCGTTCCCAAAATTACCCTTGGGTTGGACAGTTCACTAAAAAGAACTCACCGAAACCCACTGTACTGTTGGTCAGGCTTATGACAGGGAAAGGTACAAATCAGAACCAGCCAGGGGTAGAATCTGAGAGTGTTCCACGAACAGGGCTCCTGGGCCTCCTCCCCCTGAGTCCTAGAGAATCACCAAGCCTGAGGGTGGCCCTGGGGACCTCCGGCACCAGCCCTGTGAAACTTGATCTCGTGTATAGATTCATGTGACCATCACTACTGTTGATGTGAGCTCTTCCATGGCCCCCAAAACTCCCTTCTGCTCCGCTGCTTATAGGCACGCCCTGCTAACCCTGCATCCTGGTGGCCTCTCCTCCATTCTCCGTCACCCTTATTGTCACTTAGAGAATGTTAGGTCAATGGAACCATACAGTACGTAACCAGTAAGATTGGTTTCTGTCACTCGGCATGATAGCCATGAGACCAACCCAGGATGCCACGCGTCCGCTCCCGTGTCCGCTCTTTCTCATGGCTGGGGAGTTGTCCATCGTGGGGGTGCTCCCGAGTTCCTCCATCCGTTCCCCCACAGAACGATGTTTGGGCTGTTCTAAGATTTGGCTCGTACAAGTAAAGCTGCCCTGAGCATTCATGTACAGATTTTTGTGTGCACGTGAGGGTCCGTACGTAGGACCCTAGGACCTAGCATTGCTGGGTCACAAGCTAAGTGTGTGTTTAACCTGACGGGACGCAGTCAGCCTGCTCTGCAGAGTGGCCGTGACATGCACCTGCCCTCCAGCAGCATGCGGGAGCTGCACCTGCTGCTGTCCTCGCCAGCACTTTAATAGGTGTGTAATGTATCTCCTTGCAGGCTGAGGCGGAACATCACTTCCTGTGTTTATGTACCATCTGTATGTCCTCCTTGGTGAAGACTCAGGTCAAGACTTTTGCCCTGTTCCTATTTTTTTTTTCAGTGTTAAATTTTAAGTGTTTAAAAAATATCCTGGATTAAAGTCTATTTTTGAGTATGAGATTTGAAAATATTTTTTGTCCAGCCTTTTTTTTTTTTTTTCCCAATTCTCTTAAATAGTGACTTTCCTGGGCAAAACGTTTTGATTTTTGATGAAATTCAATTAGCTTTTCTTTTTTCCTGGATTTTTAAACTTTTTTTATTCAGGTATAATTTAGTGTTATATTAGTTGGAGGTGTACAATATGATTCAACAATTCTATGTATTTCTCAGTGTTCGTTAGGTGCAGTGTACTTAAAAAAAAATTTTTTTTAATTCCAGGATAGTGAGGATACAGTGTGATATTAGTTTCAGGTGTACGATATGGTAATTTGGCACTTCTGTACATTCCTTTGTTCTCATCATGGTAAATGCACTCTTAATCCCCACCCCCCATCCCCCACGCCCGCCCCTCTGGTAACCATCAGTGTGTTCTCTATAGGTAAGAGTCTGTTTTTTGGTTTGTGTCCTTTTTTTGTTCATTTGCTTTGTTTTTTAGATGCACTTATGAGCAAAATCATACGGCATTTGTCTTTCTCTGACTTCCCTTAGAATTACACTTGCTGGGTCCATCCATGTTTCTGCAGATGGCAAGATCTCATTTTTTAAGATTTTATTAATTAGAGGATGAGTACGGGGTGGGGGCAGGGGGAGCAGGAGAGGGAGACCCCCCCCCCCCCGAGCAGGGAGCCCAGCACGGGGTCGATCTGAGGACCCCGGGATCATGACCTGAGTCGAAGACAGACGCTTAACTGATTGAGCCACCCCCGGTGCCCCCAAATCTCATTCTTTTTATAGCTGAGTAATACTCTCGGGGCCCCTGGGCGGCTCAGTCGGTTAAGCGTCCAACTCTTGATCTCAGCTCAGGTCATGATCTCGGGGTGGTGAGATCGAGCCCCAGGTCAGGCTCCAGGCCGGGTGTGGAGCCTGCTTAAGATGCTTGCTCACTCCCTGCTCCTGCCCCTCCCCTGTGCACGTAAGCACGCGTGCTCACTTGCTCTCTCTCAAAAGGCGGGCAAGCTCTCATTCTTTTTCTGGCTGAGTAATATTCCATTGTGTGTGTACTAACCTTCTGTGTCCATTCATCTGTGGAGGGGCGCGAGGCTGCTTTCATGTTCCGGCTATTACAAACAATGCTGCATAAACATGGGGGGCAAACATCTTTTTGAATTAGTGTTTTCATTTTCATTCGCTCCTCAGGAAGTTCAAAACAGAATTACCATATGACCCAGTAATTCCACTACGGTGTATTTACTCAGTTTCTCTTTCAGGGATGGTCTCGTGGGGTCAGGTCTAAGAACTCTGCCTAATCCCAGATCCCAAAGATTTTTTTTCCCTGTTTTTATTCTGGTTTAGATCTGTGGCTCATTTTGAGTTAATTTTTGTGGAAGGCATGAGGCTTGAGTCGAGGGTGGCTCTTTCTGCTGTTCCAACACCATTTATTGAAATGACGATGTTTTCTTCATTAACTTGCTTCTAAATTGTCCAGAGTCACAACATTTCCTTTTTGGGGGAATGGTTTAAACTGCATCACTGTCCTTAGAAGTTGTGGGACTAATCAGATTACTGCATATTAATGTGTTGCAATAGTTTGTGGTTTTCAAGGAATTGGTTTATTTCCTTGTTGAATTTCTGTGCCTGCGATTTTCAGTATTACTGTTGGAATATCTTGAGGGAGCTGTTGTGATCAACCACCTTCGTCCCTAATATTGGCGATTTGTATCTTTTTCCCTTGGATAAACCTCTAGCAAGACTGGCCTTTTTATTGATATTTTAAAAGAACTAGCTCTTGGATTTTTTTCAAAATCAAAAATCTTTGACTTAACTGGTTTCTGCTGTTTCCTATTTTTATTTTGGTGAATGTCCCTTTGCTGCTGAGGGGTGAGCATTCTATAAAAATGGGAGTCAAGCTAAGTTGCTTAACAGTGTTCAAGTCTGCTACATTTTGATGAAAAGATGGTTTACATTTGGGTGTGGTCTGATTTATCTGTTTTACTTTGTGGTCAGCATGTTGGGTCTTGGGCAGTAAGATCTCACCTGTCCCTGTTAGTCGTCTTTATCTTTGACCTTGACAGTGTACCCTGGGCTGTTCTGTATGGTATTTATTAAGGATTAAGAGTACTTTTTTATGTTGTTACTGCAAGTATCCGTCGACCCTGATTGTTCTTATTTTTTAAGGGGCAGCCTGGTGCTTGGAGGTGCCCCCCAGAGCCATGGTGTGTGGCAGGCTGCGTGTGTGGCAGTTGCTGAGCCGGTATCACCCCTGCCCGAATGGCTTCCTCTCAGGCAGCCCCCTCGATCATCTTTTTGTAGGGATGGCCCATGTGTGTGTCTTCCTTTAGCTCTGGTGTCATCAGCGGGGGTTGTGGAGGGAGGAGAGTCACCCCAGGCCATGCATCTTCCTTCCAAGGATTCCAAACTTTGCCTGGGAGCTGCAGGGGTCCACTCTGACCTCCCTCTCCCTGGTCTGGCCCAGGTGTCTGTCACCACCCCAGGCAGCCCAGGTTTTGGGCGAGAGGGTTACTTTTCTGTGTCAGTTTGGCCAGGCTGTGGTGCCCAGCTGTTTGGTCAAATACCAGTCTAGCTGTTTCCGTGAGGGATTTTTTTTAGGTGTGCTTAAAATTTCAATCAGTTGGCTTTGGATCACAGAGGTTGCCTCCATAACATGGGTGAGCCTCATCCCCTCAGTTGAAGGCTTGAGAGAGAGGCCTGGGATGCCCGGGAAGGAAGGAGTCCCATGGCGGCGTGCTCCTGAGCTGCCAGCCCCCGCAGTAGCGTGAGCCGGTATCTTAGAACACGGCTGTGTTCCTCTTTGTCCCCATCCTAATAACTGGGGGGGGGGGGGCTGGTGGTTACAGCTGTGGCCTCATGTCACAGACGCTCCTCCTCCGTGGTGGCTTCCTGCCTGGCTGCTGCCCTCCCTTACGAACCAACAGTCCTGGCTCTCATCTTCTGGCAGCTGGGAAGCGTGCTGGGTCCTGGGGCCCAAGGGAAAGGCCCTTTACTGTGGACCTTAGAGGACGGGGGCTTGGCTCAGGCCTCTCAGAGCTGGACCGTTGGTCGCCCTGGACGTGGTTGTGAACAACAGGCTTCGTGGATTTCCAGAAGTGGCGTAAGGTTTCCCACGTGGTCGCTTCTAGGGAAAACGCGAACCAGGCGCGGGCCCAGCACTCCACAAAACGCCTCCAAGCCCCCGCCTGACGGGTGAGGAGACGGGGCCTCAGAGCAGAAGCCGTGGCCCCTAGGCCGGGCCCCCCATCTTACCCATGATGGTTGATACAAATCACTGTGGTTTAATAAATAGCGAGGTGTTTCTGTGCCGTGTGCTCCCAGCCCGTCTCCGAGGCCAGGGGTGGAGCCGGGTGAGGGGCCGGCCGCACGGTGTCCTAAGAGCACCCCTCTGACGAGGGGCTAGGGGAAGGGCCACAGTCACGAAAAAAGAGATTTAGGGATTTTACACAGGTGGGGGCCACTAGATGTCTTCTGGGTGAGTCTGGGCTTTCTTGGCTCTGGAGAAGAATTTTTCACATAGTTTGAGGAGCTCTGACAAAATGAACACAGATGAGGCCAATCCAGTTAAAAGCAACAAATCTGCCAAAAGGGGAAAGGAAAAAAGGAGTCAGCACAGGTTGGCCTCTGCCCACCAGCTTGCGGGAACCTCGGCCCGGACCTCCTTTTCCTCCATTTTGTCTTTAGTCACAGAGACCCCAGAGGTGAGCGGGGAGGACCCAGGAGCCGCAGACCAGACCTTTCCCTTCCCGGAAGCAGATCTCAACCCAGCGCGCACGACGCGGCAGAGCAAGCTCCACCATGACCACCCTCTGTTTCCAGGTGGCTTTGGCGGAGGGGCAGGTGTTACCCACCTCAGCTAGAACAGGACCCTCATCCCTCCTCTCATCCAGCATGAGGGCAGATGCCCCAACCCCTACTTCGGGCGCCCCGGGCACCCCACACTGACTCGTTCCAGTGGGTCAATCCCTAGCCCTTGCCCTGACCCCACAGAACCTTCCCTGGCTGCCCGTTGCCAACATTTCAGTACGAACATGGTGCCCATTGCCACTGGGGGGCAGAATGAGCCCAGACTTGCCCCCCACGGTGCAGACCCGGGGCCTTGCTGTATATGCTCCGAGCTGCCAGCCTTGGCACAAGGCCAGGAGGCCACGTCCCCTGCTGCCCGCGGTGCCTCTTCCGGTGGCTCCCCGTATGCTCATCCCCCAGCACAGCGCGCTCCCACCCCGTGCCCACCACAGGGCACAGGCGGGGGGGGGGGGTTAGGTGCTGACCCCTCCCACTCACCGAGTGCGCCCAGGTTCTCCGTCTGGAAGACCTTCTGCAGGGGAGGGATGTAAATCACGGCCAGCTGCCCCAGAATTGACCCCAGCACCGAGTACAGGAACATGGGGTTCCGGAGAAAACCGATCTCAAATATCAACTTGGTCTGCGGGAGGAGGAGGGCACGTGTCGTCAGCGCTTCTGAGAACAGGATTGGGTCCTGCAGGGAAGGGAGGAGAAGGCAGCCCGGGGCTCACCTGAGAGCGGCAGGTCAAGGCGTTGAAGAGGTCAAAGAACACAAAGCAGGTGAAGGTCATGGTCGTGGTGCGTGGGGTGCTGGCCCTGTCTGCGGGGATCTGGAACACAAAGGCACGGGCTGAGCGGGTCCAGGAAGGCTGTGCGCTTCCCGCAATGAACTCGTCGTCGTCCTCGAGCCAAGGGAACAGCAACTCCAGCGTGGGCCTGAACTGCCCCGCGGGGAGCACCCTTACCGGGAACTGACCGGACCCTCCCCTCGGGCTGGCAGCGGCTGATGTAACAGGGGACATGGGTCTCAGGACCCTCCCCATCAACCCCGACAGCTGGGGGGGCCAGCAGTCCTCCTTCAGGAACTTTGGCTGCCTCCCACACCCGAGCTGAAACCTTGCGCAGAGAAAGGGAATGTCCCTCCCTCCAGCAGGTGACCCTGTCTCCTGGGAGGGGACATTGCTACAGCTTCAGCCCCTGAGCAGAACATCCCTTCCTAGAGGAAGATAGGGAACGGAGACCCTCCCTGGTTCGTGCACTGCTGCTCAGGACCTGAGGCAGGTCTCCTTCCCCTTGACCTCTCAGGGCCGGGCCTGGAGCCGCAGGTGAGAGAGCCGCACATTCTCACCCAAACTTCTCCCTGCCTGGGCTTGCCGGCTGGACCAGGATTCTCTGCAGACTCCCCTGGTGGCGGGGGGTGCATGTGAGTTAGGCCTCCACCAGGACTCCGGAGTCGGGCTCTAAGAATCTGCATTTCCAAGGTCCTGGAGAGGTGGAGGCTGCTGTGGGGACCCGATGCTGAGGGCCGCTGTGTGAGCCCAGGAGGGCCTGGGTCCCTGTCCCCACCAAGTGCAGCACACAGGCTGGAGGAAGGGGAGGCCTCACCTGCCTGGCAGGTGAGAATTTGGGAAAAAGGGCCGCTCCTCTGGAGAAAAACTGAGAATCTGGGGGGGACCCCGTGTCCCGTCCCTCTTGCTGCACGTGGCACCTGCCCGGTTCTCCAGCCAGAGCACTGCATGTTGGCACGGGGGCCACCAATAGGTGGCCCATGAGTTCCTGCAAATAATCCCCTCCAGGGAATAAACTTCCTTTCCGTAAATTTCAAGTTGTTGCCGTGAGAACAGAAAGCGGCATCGGGTCCCGGTTAGAGTAAAATCTCTTTTCTTTTCCACGCCTGGGAAGCCTCCTACCCCCCCCCCCCCCCCCCCCCGCTGCGGACAGCTCCTGCTGCCCCTGTACGTGTACACGCGTCTCCCCGGTCAGAGCCTGTGCCCCACGGCGGGGCAGGGACTGTCCACAGCCCCGGCCCCGAGTCTCGCACGTCAGGGGCTTCGCGAATACCGGCTTAATGAGTCAGGGAGGACTTGCCTCACCTCTTTCCAGAAGATAAAGAGGGTCCCGCTGATGATGACGGCAGCCGACAGAAGGATCTTAAGGATGAGGGCTCTACCGAGGATGGTGTCCTTGACGTTCCGTGGGGGCTGCTGGAGGGTGTCTCTGTCCACCGGCTCTACCCCCAAGCTGCTCGGAACAAGACATGGGGCGCCCTGACGTAAACCACTGAGAAGGGTCACTTCAGACAGCTGGGCAGCGGCTGAACAAGCACATCTGGAGTGGAGCACGAACCTTCCAGGCTCCCTGGTGAGCTCCACAGGCACGGCGGGGCTGTGGGGCTCAGGGAGCTGGGGCCCAGCGCCTCCAGGCTGTCCACGCAAGCCGGGGCCCTGACAGCCCAGCCCCTTCCATGGTGCACGCCCCCCCCCCCCCCAGCCTGGGCCCCACGGGCAGCCCTACCCTCCCCCCATCCCTGAGCTCAGTGGAAGAAAACCTCCCCCGGGGTTGGCCACACCACGGTCCTGGAACCACCCCGCGTCCCCCTGCGGGCTGGATAAATGGGATCCACCACAGAGCCCCTTACTGACTGAGCAGACTGTGAAACAGTGGGGGGGGCCGTGGGGGGGACCCCGCTTCACTCCTGGCCCATTCCCAGCATAAAAAGAGGACTCTTGCCCTTGGCAGCTGTAACTGGTGATACTGAATTCATATTAGTAACGTAATATGTATCAAATATAATCAGATGACACAACACTGTGCCCCGGCAGAGGTCATTCTCTCTCCTGCACCATTCGGCTAGCCTAACACTCCCTTCTGATCCATCCATCCAACAACTCACTCATTGACCAGCCCCCGTGTGCCAGGCACTGTTCTAGGAGCTGGGGATACTGCAGGGAACATAACCACAAACCTTGCCCAAGGGGAGACGGATCTTAGAGACAAGCACGGACATACGTGTATATTTTCTCCCCTAGGGAAATATAAAGCAGGGAAGTGAATGAGAGCCAGGAGGCTGCTTGTTAGAGTACTCAGGGAGGACTTCTCAGAGGTGGTGACCTGAAGAGAGGGGCTGAGCCCTGGAGCTGTACAGGGACAGCTCCCCCACCGACCCTGGCTGCCCACACAGGCCCTTCCTCCCACGCCCAGGGCATGCCGCTGTCCATCTTCCTCCTCATGCACCATAGTCAAGTGTTCTAGGACTCCTGGGGACAGTGACTGTGTTTGCACCCACACTCTGTGCAGGGGCCCGAGGCTGCAGAGGGGGGCAGCCCGGTGGAAATGGCGCAGTTTCCCGGCCAACCCGGAGCCTCACCTCTGTGCTGGTGGCCCGTCCATGATGATGTTGATCCACAGGATCTGCATGGCGTTGAGGGGGCTGGGCAGGTTGCACACAGTGGACAGAGTGATGAGGCTCAAGGCTGAGATGCTCCTGCGGGGCACACACACGGCACATTCGATGGCTGCTTGCGAGACGGGCGCACAGCACCTGACGGCACTAGGAGCTGCTGGCCTCGACTTACGTGCTCAGCTGAAACCGGACGAAGTTTTTGATGTTATGAAAAATCCCCTTGCCTTCCTCCACCGCATTCCTGCAAGAGAGGAGAAAGTGTTTATGCACAAAGATGGCCCTGGTGGAAAGGTTCAGGCACCTGCGTTAGCCGCAACAGGAAGCGATGTCACCAGAGATGGCCTCGTGCTTGGGCACCACTTCCTGTTTCCCCTCGCTGCTCCAGGCCATGCCCACGGAGGACAATGATGTCCTGACCGGCGCCCTCGGGCGCTCCCACCCCCAATTACTTCAATTCATTTATGAGGAAAGACTTAACTAGAACGGATTAAAATTAGATCTAGAGGGCAGGCAAAATTTTTTTTTAAGAAAACAAAAAAGTGAAGCAAGAAAACAGGTGCTTTGTCATCCTGGCAGCTTGAGATCACATCAGCAATGCAGACATTACTGCCTCATCTCCGTCAACGCGTGAAACATCCGTGTGGGTGCAAACACGACCCTAGACTCAAACCACGCATATTCACTTTTAGTGGTTTTTACTTAACACTACAGTGTGAGCATTTCTGTGTCTTTGATACATCCCTCAAAACATCATTTTTAATAGCCTCGGAGTACTCCTGCTCTCGCTGTTGGCAGCTAGGGTAGTCTAGGATATCCCCATAAATGGTGCTGCAGCGACCGCACGGGCATGTGCCTCCATCTGCGCACCTGATCCCGGCTCTCCCGCCAGGTGCACCCTCGGGCTGCAAGTAGGGTCTGCTGCACGTGTCTGTAGCATCCCCCCCAGGTGCTGTGTGTGCCTGGGACACCCGTGTCTCTAGCAGAACAGATTTGGGGGGTGGGCAGCTGGTTACGCCGGGCATTTCTGCCACTAAAAAACAAAACCAAACACCTACGGAGCAACTTACATGATGGTTGAGAAGTCATCGTCCACGAGGATCATGCTGGCAGCCTCTTTGCTAACGTCTGTCCCCGTCTGCCCCATGGCAATCCCGATGTCCGCGGACTTCAGGGCGACCGCATCATTCACCCCATCTCCTGTCATGGCCACGATTGCCCCCGATTCCTGCAAAGCCTTGGTAAGGAAGAGGCGAGTGAAGGTTGCAGCCCTTCCAGAACCTTGCTTCTCTCTGGATGCTCTGCCTCTCCCACCGCATGGCCAACAGCAGAAGCCCCTCTCTCGAGTCAGCTGGCCGGAGTCTGAACCCCAGCCCCACCTGCACCAGCTGTGGGAATTGGGCAAGCCCTGAACCTCTCAGCCTCAGCTTCTCCATTGGCAAAGTGTGGGCAACTTGTCCCTCCTCCCCTGAGAGCGACAGTAAGACCGCGGGTGTGAGGCTCATGAGTGTTGTCCATCTCCATTAATAAAAGTCACCTTACCCCTGAAACCATGCAGTGCCCAGTAAGTACTAATGTTTTCTCTTAGGAATACCGTGCAGAGAGATTTGCTCCCGAGAACTAAAACCCCCCCAAATAGCATAAAGGATAAAACGGCCCGGAGCTACAGAGCACATCTTCCAAGCGCATGCAGGTGGGAGGCCGAGCACAGCAGCAGGGCCCTCCTCCCCGCACGACAAAGCCACACCCGTTCTCGGCTGGGCGCCCGCTGCGTGCCAGGCGCTGCACCAGGCACTCCAAGGCCTGGCCTCCTCTCATCCGCTCACCAGCCTTGGGAATTAGCTGACATCATTCAAACTACCCTCCATTTACAGATGGGGAAACTGAGGCCTGGAGGTAAGTAATGAGAATGATGCCAAAGAGCACTCGGCTAACAGAGGCTAGCTGCTTTTTATTTTTCTCTCTGCACCACCCAATCCCTGCTCCTGTTTTTGGTGTATGTGGCAAAGGTCCCCCTGTTCTCCTCCCCACAGTTTGAGGATGGCCGAGGCTCCCGCCAGCTTGGGCCCTGGACCAGCCCTGGAGCAGAGCCCTCCATCGTCCTGGACTGACCCTAACAGACAAATGAGGCACCCAGCTTACCTTTATGATTTTGAGCTTGTGCTTTGGGCTGGTCCTGAAGAACACAGATACCTGGACACAGAGGCGCAGAAGAGCAGAATCCATGAACTTGGAGCTGAAACTCCCCCCCTCCCCCGCAATGAAACCCCTAGGAGGAACCTACCTTTCCGACGCGGTCAGTCAGCTCTTCCTGCTCCATACTGTCCACCTCTTCCCCGGACATGGCTCTCAGCTTCCCATTGCAAAGGCCGATGTTCCTTCCTGCACGGTGCCAAGAATCTGTTCTGAGCACTTGCTCCCAAGCCTGAGACCGCTCCCGTGCCCGCCCCTCACTGCCCCTGCCTGCCCCCCAGTCCCTGCCCGGGCCACAGAGAATGACGAGAAGAAAACCATGATGGCATCATGCACTGAGCACCTGCCCTGTCACATGATCTCAATGCCATCCACGCAATTAACTTGCAACAGAGGCCTTGTTATCCCTGCTTTAAAGGCAAGGCAAGGGAGGGCAGGGACTTCCCCAAGGTCACAGAGCTGGTGAGGGGTGATGCTGGAACCAGATGTGGTTTTGTCTGATTCCAGAGCCTCTGATCTTTTCTCGGGGCTGGGTGCCTTGAGATAGGGCAGGGAGCAGACCAAGGTGTGACTCCCTCATTATATCAGTAAGTAGAATCACAAGAGGGCTACTGGCCCTCTGCAGGCGAAGAGCCTGGAGGTCAGAGTGGTTCAGTGACTTGTGGGCACACGGCACGCAGCAGAAGCCAGCCCAGAAGTGAACACCAGGAATGACGCTGCCTGGGAAGAGGAAGCAAGCTCGGGGGTAAAGGCTCCCAGCACGCGGGAGGTTGTCAGTGGGCACTAAGGCTCTGCCCCCTTCGGAGGACCTGCCAACATTTTAGGGCCAACCGTGTGAAGGTGGAGCGCTGGTCCTCGAAGCTCACAGTCACCGTGCGCAGTCCCGACGAGGACCCACCGGCCGCCCGCCCTCCCCGCTTACCTATGGCGTAGGCGGTCTCCAGGCCGTCGCCCGTTATCATCTTCACCGACACGCCCGACTGACAGAGCACCTGCACTGCTTCCTTCACGCCAGCCCTCGGAGGGTCGATGATCCCGACGAGCCCCAGGAAAGTCAGCCTCCCCAGCTCGGGCCCAGAGGCCAGGGCCAGCACTGAGGAGACACCAAGAGCCACAGAGGGTCCACCGGGGGCCGAGGGCCGTGAAGTCCCCAGTCAGCCCGGCCCCTCTACAGCCCTGATCCTCCTCTGCCTGCGCGGGGCTCCCCGGGGCTCTGGATGGCTGGCCCCGAGGTAGAGAGAAATGTAGAGACAACCTGACCAGCAGAAAGTAAGACTTTCGTCCGCTGGTGGTATAAATCCCAACCACACCCCAACCAGAGGGACCAGAAGGAAATCTGCGAGCTGACATGCAATGGCACGGTCCGAACAGCTCTTCTTGTCTTTGCTGTTGCCACCTGCCCTTGTAGGGGAGCAGCTGCAGGGGAAGAAAAGGTGCAGGAGGGCACTACGGGGTACAGGCTCTGTGTGCTGGCTTGTCCTCGCCTTGATTCTGGGGAACCAGTGCTCCCAGAGGGGGTGTTGTGAGAATGACCTTACTTTGTCACTTTCCTGATACTGGAGGGGCCACGGTGCCCTTCCTCCCTTTCCCAAAGCTACCCTCCCCACCCTGCTTGGCTCCATCTCAGCAGACTGGGACATCCTCACCTTGTACGCTTGTCAGCAAGCTGCTAGCAATTTATCATGTCTCTTTCCTGAAGGGAAAAACCAAGGCAACTGGCACCCGGCCCAAAGCTTCTCATTTCCCCCAGAGAGAGAAGACAAGGGTTCCAGAGTGTTTTTAAATACTTCCTCCGACAGTGGACGGGCTGACAAATGGCACTCTGGGAAACGTGAGCTTTAATGTTCGGCTCATCAGGGGAGGTGTTGCCCCTGGTGCGGAAAACTGGAAATGGCCAAGGAATGAAATGACTGCCTTGATTTCAAAGAGCTTTGGGTTTTCCTGATGGTAAGCAATGAGCAAGAAGACCAATGAGGAAAATCAGTGTTTCTGGTACGCCTCCTTCATCTGTCTTAGAAACGTCAGCAGGGAGGCACCAGCCTTTCTCATACACATGAGCTGCGTCTGGACTAACAGGTGTCATTTGGTGGCTGGGCTTGCTGGGGGTGGGTGGGGGGGTGGCTGTCTGTCTTTCATCTGCCCATTAATTCCCCGTTTGCCTTACTCTCATTAGCACACCACCCGACTGCTGCTCTGATCAATCCCCTTACTAAGAACCCTGCATCAATGCACTTTAAAGTCAGTGGTGCACTTGAACTTAAAGCTCGGGGCTGGGGACCAAAGGTACTGACCACGCAAGCCAAGTGACCCCATCCTCTTCTCTTCCTGCTGGCAGAAGGATCTCTGTTGGGGTGTCAGTGGCAGGGGGATGCCTCCATTGTTGTACATGGTACAGTAATTAATCACTTCTTCAAAGGCCCCCTTCATGAAGTAAATGTCTTCCTGGTCCTTGGAAAAGAAAAAAAGTCCGCTGTCATTGGATGCTTCAGCTCTTGGTGACTGTCACCTCGTGCACACAGCGATGCTCACGGTGGGGCTATTTCTAGTGGACCGTTATTGCTTACCAATACAGGATGGGTTAGATAAATTACAGGAAAGCCACATGACAGAATATCACACAGCCCATAGAAGGATGGAGGTGGATCTTTGATCCGCACCCGACTCTGTGTGAAGTCCCTTGTTAATGTCAGTGCATTTCACGAACCGGTCAACCCCCAGGCACCGTTACACCTCTGTGTGTGGGATTGCGTGCTAGATGTCTATTTAACGGGCACGTACCATTTCTGTTGTGCTCACCGCTGCACATGGCTCATAAAAGGGAACCCAAACAAGCCCCTAACTGTTTTCCTGTGTATTTAAGCTCCATCTCCTGTAGATGGTAAGCTCTGGGCAGAAGGTGCTGTGCCAGTATGGGTCACTCTGTCCCCGGCATGAGCACTGAGCCTGAATGCTCACGGCGGGCAGGGAATGAGCTTGTATGAACGGGATACAGAAAGGTGTCTAAGACATCACCGTAAGGGGAAAAAAAGCAAATTACAAACACTATCTACAGCACGACCTAGTTTTAAAACTACCACCCCATATGTTGCTGTGTGCATATTTAGAACCTGGAATATTCCATCCCAGACTGCTGGGTTGGGGGGGGTGGTTGGTGATGGGTCAGGAGAGAAGAGGGGCTGGGTTATAAGGAGCTCCCATTTTTAAAGTCATACTTCCATAATTTATTTCAATGAGAATATATTACTATTGTCTTTGGAGAAAAAAAAAGATTTGAAGTTATTAAAACATTTAAAAAATCTGTAACCCCTTTTAAGCAGAGAGTATTTGTACACCCATCTACTCATGGCAAAGGTCTGAAACGTGCTGGCCAAGCCGCCCACTACCCTGAACAACAGAGGAGGAATCTCAGCACGAGCAAGATGTGACAGGTTCCAGAAAGAATAGGAGAGAAGTAAAGGGCTGGAGAAAAAGGTGGAAAGCAATACAAAAAAACTTAAAAAAAAAAAACAAAACCCTTTTATTGTAGAAGATCTGAAAAGCTACAGAAGGTTAAAAAAGAAAAAGAGGGGAGAAAGAAGTCAGCTGTCATCCCCAAGCAGGGTAGCCATGAATAGTTTGGGGTATGTTCCTATGGTCCCTCAAACCAGGTGCACACGCATGCGCGTCTATATGCACCCATGTGATGTGTGAGCTCACTGTTCACACCGTCTGTGCTGGGTGCTGGGATGTGCCTCCTGATCCCCCTTCAGGAAGGAAGGACTGTCCCCACCTGGTGATGATCAAAGGTGCTCGTACCTGTAAAGAACTCGGCACCAGGGTGTGAAGAAAAGACCCCCAAGGTAGCAAGGGGGGGTGGTCACTGTCAATGGTAGGAGCGTGCATCAAAATTCCCAGCAAACACAAGTTGCTGGCTCTACTCCTGATTTTCTTTTTAAAGATTTTCTCTTTCTTTTCTTTCTTTTTTCTTTCTCTTTCTTTCTTTTTCTCTTTCTTTCTTTCGTTATTTATTTGAGAGAAAGAGAGCTTGCGAGCAGGGTGAGAAGCGGAGTGGGGAGAGGGGAAAGAATCTCAAGCAGACTCTGCGCTCAGTGTGGAGCCTGAGAGAGGACTCAGTCTCATGACCCTGAGATCATGATCTGAGCCAAAAACGAGAGTCAGATGCTTGACCAAGGCACCACCCAGGCGCCCCGCACTCCTGATATTTCTGACTCTGAGGTTCTGCGTGGAGCCTGAGAATCTGCATTTTTAACAAATTCCCAGGGGATGCTGCTGGTCCAGAAACCCCACTCTGAGAACTACTGTTTCAGACAAAAATCTCAGAAGAGAACCCAAGATAATCAATGATCTAATTGCTATCAAATGTATTTTCATGTATTTGAAACTTCATAGAAGCTAGGAGCTTTAAACTCTCCTGCTTGATGCCTGCATTTTCGTTCCTCTGGGGTGTAGGGGAGAGGGTGGGAAGGGGCAGAGAAGCAAACTCACCTCGTTCTTGGGGCTGCACTTTACTGCCATCCATTTCTGCTCCGAACTGAATGGAATCTCTTTTTTTCTCACATATGAATCTTTAGTATCACTTAAGTCCATCTAGGATAATAACATGCAAGCTCCCAGAGAGTCATCCTAAACCAATCTCTATGCAAAGTGCAGTCCACTTAAATTATTCATGATTCAAACCATTTCCGGCAGATGAGAAATCCAACCTCACAGGGAAAGGCCATTTGCTTTCAAATGAAATGTCCCACCCGGAGAAAAAAGGTCTCATTTCTCTTGTTTGGGGACAGAACCAGCTTGGTCTTCGTGATAGCTTTTGGCACCCCAACCCACTGCCCACCCCTTTGGCATCCAGGGGTAGCCATTCTGCACGTGGCACTGGCCACAGAGTGGGGGCATTTCTGCCAAGTCCCAGACTCAGGGTCTGACCTCAGAGTCCTGCAATCAGTCGAATGTGCTAAAAGGAAGGGGTCTTTCCTGGAGGGGGGGTCTCAGGGGCTGCCAGGTGGGTTGCATTCCTCTGTCTCCCCAGCACCTCCACGGGATCTGAGCCACAGGGCACCCGAGGATTCGTACGGGATTGCCAGGAAGGGTGGCATGGAGAATGTTCCAGAACCACGTGGCATGTCAGTGACTGCCCGAGGACGTTTGAGGCCACTCTCTCCCGTTATTACTAAGCTTCCCCATTCCTCATCTGCTCAGACACGAGCTCAAATTCTGCCACTAATTCAGCCCCAAGTGCAAGAACTCCCGGTGCAGACCATCAGAGGGTTCCTACCTTCATGGCCAGGGCGATCAGCGCACCTTCCGTGGGCTGTCCCATCACGGCGTTTTTTCTGATGATGGCGTTGTTGGCCACACAGCCTGCCTGAAAGGGGGGATTTCTGAACGTCTGTAGTTAATATTCAGAGCGGGCACCCCTTGGGGTCCTGGGCTCACTCGTCCACGTGAAAAAGTCACATGCTGAAGGCTTGACCTATTTTGGGGGCGGGGGCTGGGCTGGGGGTGAAGGACAAGGTCTACTCCTCAAAGTACATCAGAGTCCCCGCTCTTCAAAAGAAACACCGTAAATGTTTACTGATTCTGCTGAGCGCTGACTGTCACAAGGCCCTTGTAAGGCAGCATCATGGGGGGTGGGGAGGCTGGAGTGATTGGGTACGGGTTTCCGCTTGGGGTGATGAGCTATCCTGAAATTAGACGCAGCCGTGGCTGCCCAACTTTGTGAATGTACTAAAGCCACTGGACTAGTACAATTTAAAGGGGTGAATTCTGTGCTATAGGACTTACATCTCAATAAAAAATGATAATTAAAAAAAGGAAAGAAACACACAAAAAGAGTGTGGAGGTGAATCCCGGCTCCCTCCCTCACTGGCTGGGTGATCCTGGACACTCTCGTCACCTCCATGAGCCCGTTAGACAACATCTCGATCTGGACCTCGGAGGGCACCCCGCGTGTGGGAGGGACGAGTCCAGCTAATATTGCTCATATCGACAACGCAACCCGGCTCACTGTCCAACCTTCGTTGAGTACCTTCTCTAGGCAGGTGTCTCTTTAAAGCTTTTCCAGCAGGTAGGGAGGACAGAGAATATAGCTCTTCTCTCACCTCCAGGGTCTCCACCTGTTTCTGGGCCACTGGGACACCTGACCCCCGGGGGTGTGGCCCAGGTGTCGCCAAGAGCCAGCTGGCCATCTCTTCAGGGCGAATCCCCATCAGTTCCTCTTAAAAGCATATTTCCACCGTGGGGCTTTTGACACTCACCTCTACTAATTTCCCCACCGAGACGTTGCTGAACTCCTTAATGACTTCCTTTGAGGGTAACAGACAGACAGTCCCTTTGCCATCATACCCAACTCCGCTGACCTGCAGGGCAAAGCCGCAGAGAGGATGTCACCGCGTGTCAATAAGACCCTTCCCCCCGGGGTTGTCCTATCATCTCTTTTCTGGGGGACCCACCCCAGGGACAGACTCCTACCCACAAATAAGGCTTTAAGCATGAGGATGTTCCCTGCACTTTTATTCATCAGAAAACTTCAAAAAGGGCCATGCTTTAGAAACTGCAGAAAGCTTCCTCAACGGGATATTCAGCAGCCAGGGAAAATTGTGCTTCAGAAAACGAAGTGATAGCACACAAGAGAGCTTACGTTCTAGCACAGAGCGGGGCAAACCTTCCCCTAGGGAGCCAGAGAGCAGATGTGTAAGCCTTTGCAGCCCACGCAGCCTGTCAGGGCCACGCTGCCCTGTGGCTGGGGCACAAAGGTAGCCGTCGACGGACAACATGTAAACCAAAGGGTGCGCCAGCCGGTCAGCAAAATTCCATCTACGAAAACAGGCCCTGGCCCGTGAGATGTCACTGCTGACACCTTAGTCTGGAAGTTCTGTGAAACGCCCCGCAGGATACACAAGCACGTTCCGGGGGCTTGCGACTGTGCCAGAGGCACAGGGGAGAGACTGAAAAACCCCAGGGGACCATCATGGTTAGTTTATCACAGGCTGTTACGGGCAACTGCTTCTTTGCTTCTACGTCATGTAACGAGATTATTATTAAAAGATAATCGCAAAAAAATAAAGTAGGCTCCCTTAACTTGGTCACGTTCCTTGCTGCTGTTTGTAGCAAGGAAACTGTACAATAACCCATTTTTGTCTCTTCCTTATTGCTTTCTAGAAGATTCCGTGTACTTTTAGGAAGGAAAAGGTCCGCGGCACGGGGCTCACCTCAGCATGGAGCCCATCGGACGTCACCAGCTGGGTGACGGTCATCTCATTGGCGGTCAGCGTCCCTGTCTTATCCGAACAGATGACACTGCAGCAACCTGGCACGAGGCAACCCCAGTTCAGAGGAAAGAGAAACCAGCACTGTTCATCCTCAGGCTAATGAAACAGCCCGGCTGAACGGCCACTCCTTCAATCCCATTTACAAGATTCCAACCAGCAGAGTCCCTTACCTAAGGTCTCCACGATTGGTAACTTCTTCACGATGACGCGCTTCTTGGCCATCCGCAGCACTCCCAGGACCAGCGTAACCGTGACGACAATAGGCAGACCCTCGGGAATGGCAGCCACAGCCAGGCTGGATCAAAAGGCCACATGGGTCACCTTTAACACATGCACTGAAGGAGGACATGAATCCCAACTGGGGTCGCCAACACTTTGACCTGGTGAGGCATGTCTCTGGTGTCCCCAACATCCCCATTCTAGGCTCTGTTCCCAATCCCATGATGCACCCGTCTCCTCCAGCATCCACGGCTCTGAGTTCTCCTGTTGCAAAACCCTGCTCTTGGGAATGGACCTCCCCTATCAGACATCCACACTATAGCATAAATTAGTCCCTCAGTTGTTTTGCCTCTTAAAGCACTTTTGCACTTAAATTACTATTGTTTATTAGAGAGAAAGGCTTTTGGGTCCTATGAAAGAAATTTCCAGAATTAGGCAGTAAGTGGTATATATAATTTTTTGGCTCAGAGGATCCTCCCTGACTCCCCTGATTTTCACTTTTCACTGGTCTAGTTGTTTAGACGCTTCTGGTGAGGAAGCCAAACGAGGAAATTAAGGTTGAAGGGAGGTAGAGTGACAAAGCTGTGCCTCTGACTATTGTAGCAGAGCCATTTGGGTGTCCGTTCGTTTCATCATTATCCCTCCAACTCTTTCTGTACCGTGTGACCCCACCCTCACATAGCCACGGCTGATTGGTTTAGAAGACAACATGTGATCCCAGCTGAACTAGTGAGCTTCTCTCTTGGGAATCTGAATTGGGATAAAGAGGGTGGATCCCTTCTTGTGGGAGGTTTGTCAACAGGTGATGGGATGTTAAGGAGGGGCTCTTTCTGCCTCAAATTCGGTTCCAGAACATCATGGCAGACTGATTTCCCATTCCACACCCCTGAGCAGTGGGGCTTCAGGCTGACCTCAAGCCAGTGGGGGAGGCTGGAGTTTTGGGGCCAGACTGGAGAGGGTGCCTCTGGGCAGAGCTGTGGGTGAGCGCGGCCAGCCACATCCCACTACGGCTCACCCTCTGCACCAGTACATCCAGCAAAGCCCTGTAGGCATTCAGCAAATATTTGCTGGACAAACAGATAGGAATGAGTGAATACAGGCACGCCTCACAGGTACTGTGGGTTCAGCTTCAGAACCTCACAATAAAGTGACTGTCCCAATAACGGTGAGTCAGATGAACCTTTTGGTCCCCAGTGGCCATAAACGTTGTTTATATTGCACTGTCATCTATTAAGTGTGCAAGAGCATCATGTCTAAAAACCCAGTGTGTAGAATTTAATTTAAAAATACTTTATTGCTAAAAACTGCTGACAATCACCTGAGCTTTCAGCACACCGGGCCACTGATCACAGATCGCCATAAAAAATGACAATGAAAACATCTCCGATATTGCGAGAATTACCAAAATATGACAGAGATGTGAAATGACCTAATACTATTGGGAAAAATGGCCCAATGGACTTGTTTAACACAGGCATGCTACAGACCTTGACATGGTGAAAAACGCAGGATCTGCAAAGCACCATAAAACGAGGGATGCCTGCACGTATACAGCACGGGGCTAGAGCCGCGCCGGCCCAGCACACGACGAGTGTCCTACGGGCTTGCCTCACCGTCAGAAAGCCTGGCTGTGTCACACATGGCTATCCTGTTTCATCTAAGCTAAGACATGGCTGATGGTGAAGGGGACCATTATCTGTGTACCACTCAGAAAGAAAAAATGCTGCCAATTAATTAAACACAGGGCGCTCTCTTGTCTCCTCATTTGTAAGAAGCAGTCTGTCCTCAGAGAAGTGTGAAAAAAGAAAGTGCGTCTTAGAATCAAAGAAATACGGTACATGAATGGAGGCCTTTTCTCTGGAAACAATGGAACATTCAGGGGCAAGTTCTATGAGCCAGGATTACTGAATTTGGTCAAGGGGCTGTGTCCAGTTTCTATGGTGACAGCAAGAAGGCTTCCTTGGTTTTATGGCACAGGTGGACAAGACTAGCTAAGCAAACATGTGCAGAGGGCTAGCACGAGGACTTTCCCCCCATATGGTGTGGGAAGGGCGTTTTCACAGGTACTTGGACGCTTGCATGATAATCAAAAATTAATCTACAAACTAATAAAGATTAGCATGGGCCAGGAAAAGCGAGTATACTTTGGATCATCTTGAATGTCACTTGAGGCAGAGGGAATTAGGATAAAGTGTTTAAAAGACCAACTCTCAAGTTGCTTCTTTTGGAGAATCTCTTCCCCACTAGCTGTCCTGCTATTTCTACCTTCTGATGCAGTGATTTCGAGCAGCTGACTCCGCTAAAAATGTTCCTCTTTGCCAAGTCACCAGTGAAACGGACAGAGTAAGTTTTCTCTGGATGGCAAGCGTACCATGGATCTAGTGGGAGAAGTGAGAGGGAAGGGACGTGGAGACCTGGAACCAGGAGGGACCAGCAAATGGTACTGGGAAGGGCGGGCAGGGAGGGTCATGGGGGCCTTTCCTGTTACTTGAAAACAGTCATCTTGGCTCATAAAGAACTTTCTATGGTTTATAAGGTGGGAATGGAAAGGGCCATTATTTGGGGGACATTCTTAGGTGTCACGGCTTCGGAGTGCTCTGCTTTTTCCGGAAGTCCACCCCAGGGCTCAGGCTCCTCTGCCCCTCCTCCACCACACCTGCCTCTGAAGGCTTAGTCACCTGAGCCCTCTTGTCAGGGGCTCCACCTGCTTCCCTGGCCCTGCCTCTTGCCGGAGCTGCCACTGGGCCACCACTTACCGCAGCGTTAGTGCCCCAGGGAGCTTGTCAGGGATGCAGAATCTCAGCCTCTCCCCCACCGCAGACCCACCGAAGCAGGGCACCAGTGAACAAACGTTCGCCGGGACCCTCCCATCCTTAGGCTAATTCTGGAGACCCCTACTCTACACTGACCCCCTCTTCCAGGATGCGCGTGCTGGCCTCGAACCCCACATTCCACAGCCAGCTCCCCATGCCCCCCGGGGCCCCCTCCCGGCTGCAGCCAGCTAGGGCTCACAGCCCTGTCACCTCCTGTGTCTACGTCAAGAACGGCCAACACGTTTCCAAAACAAGGGTAGCGATGGCCCAGCATGCCATGTGGAGGGCTCGGCTGACGTTTTTTAGAATCAGGAGTAAAGGGACCCATAAGCGACTAGCGCCATGTGCCCTCTACCCAACTCCACTGTGTAGTTCTGCTCGTGGAGCCCAGCCAGTCCCTCCTGGTGTCCCCAGAGGCCCCCAGCTCGGTCCCACCCCCCACCGCGGTGGGGCCCTCCCCGCTGAACCCCCTTCCTGCCTTTTCGAGCAGGCTTCTCCTCGTTTCCGCTCCCACCCCTCAGAGCACCTTCCCCGGCCACCCTTCCAGGACAGGTCTCTTCCTGCCCCCCTTCTACTCTCTCTGCAGCTTTTCCTTTTGTAGCCTTGACTGTGAGCTATGATGACCTTATCAGCGTTCACTTGACTCGTTCACACTTACTTTCTCTACCAGCCCCAAAACTCTGATCTGGCTCCAATACCCTGGGTCAACGGGCGCTCAACGAGTATCTGCAGGGCCAAGGCCAGTGGCCGGGGGGCCAGCTAGGGGGTGGTGGCACGCGGGAGAGTTCCTGCCCTGCCCCAGAGGCCACGCTCGAGGGCACCACCGTGTGGGGTAGGCCGGCCTCCGCTCTGTTTAGGCCAACACACTTGCCCAGAGCCACGGAATCAGCCAGCAGAAGAGACAGTTTCAAACAAACCCACAGCATTCTGACCCAGGGCCAGGGTCCTGCTCCCCCATCGGTCCACCTTCCCTGCCACCCTGGCGAGGCGAGGTCGGCGCTGTGCCCTTACCTGACCCCGATCGTGAACATGCTGAGGAGCTGCTTCCCTTGCAGCCAGCCAGTGAACATGATCAAGCCTGGGAAAGAGACAAGAAGTGTATGTGCGCACACACGCACGCACACATGTGCACACGCGTACATCCTCAGACATGCAAACGTGTTTCTAACTCACTCCCTTAAGAGGTTCAGGAATAGATGCATAAGGCGACGAGTAAGAACCTCAAGTACTGTAACCATTCTCCTGTTTCTTTTTAAGACCTTCCACACCTGCAAAAAAGAATGGTTTCACTTTTCCAGGCAAGGACCAAGCCAGTTCAAGAAGGAAACGATCAGCCAGTTGGTTCCTCTCGGGCTGTTTGCAAATGTTTACAGGTGATCCCCACGCTCTCCCCAGGTGCCCCATGTGTGGGGACACCCCCACGGTGTGGGATGCGGCAGCTGACAAGTGCTCCTGCTGATGCGCAGATGGGCCCGTTGCTTAGAGGACTTGCCAGAGAGGGACCCTCGGGTCACAGAAGGGGTGCAAGTCACGCTGGGACCCATGAAAATGCACAGGACGTTCCGTCAATGGGGAGAAGTTCTGGGGCCGCCAGGTGCAGCCTCAGTGTCTGGATCTGTAAGGTGGGGATAACGACCATGTCTTCCTCAAAGAGTTGTTTCGGGATTTAAGAGGCAACAATCCCCTCCAAGTGCTCAGCACAGCTCCTGGGGGCTGCTATTGTCTTTGCGGTCGGTCGGAAGAGGTGGGAAGGTGAGCGGAGTCGCCAGCTTCAGCCTCGGAGGACTTGCCAAGGAACAGCAGCTTCACATCACAGGGAACGGGAAGCCAGGGCAGGTTCTGTGCTGGGTGACAGCTGTGTGTGTACGTGTGTAGGGTGTGTGTGTGATGGGGGGCGGTGTCACAAGACCTGATTTGTTAGGGTTTTTTTCCATACAGTAATTAGTGGTGGTAGGCAAATGAAATCTCAGCTGGAACCCAAATGAATCCAGATGCAGAGACTGGAGGGGCAACTCTATTAGAAATAGGGGTGGGGTGCTGAGCCTGCCGCCCCAGGCACTGGGCCCCGACCCTGCCCTGGAGGCCCCTGCCGGAAGCTGGAGCATGCCCACGGGACCCCCAAGGGCTGGCGCAGCACATCTCTTCCCAAACCCACACTCAGTGACTTCAGTCCATGGGTGGTTTGAAAGTGGCCACGTGGAGGGTATTTACACCACGGAGCCTGGCAAACGTTCCTCTCCTGGGAAAGTCGGTTCTTAAGCACTGACCAGCCCACCACAGCTTCCCTGCATCTCCCCTGTGGGCCCTGCAGGGATCGGCGGAACCCAGTTCCAAAACGCCCACAATGCTAGAGCAGCTCTTAAAATATTTATTAAGGGCACCTAGGTGGCTCAGTTGGTTAAGCGTCCGCCTTTGGCTCAGGTCATGATCTGGGGATCCTGGGATCGAGCCCCGTATCGGGCTCCCTGGTCAGCAGAGTCTGCTTCTCCCTCCCTCTGCCCCTCCCCGTTTGTGTGCTCACGTTCTCTCTCTCTCAAACAAATAAAATCTCTAAAAAAAAAAAAAAAAAAAAATCTTTGCTTGTGGGCCATACAAAAACAGGTGGCAAACTCATTTTGGTCCAGGAGTTAGAGTTTCCAATCCCCGCACTAGAGAGCAAAAGAGGCCTCCGGGCAGCCAGGACCACGTGGGCATTCTACTCTTCCAGAGATGTCTGGTCAATATGCAACCCCGAGGATGGCCAGTGAATGGCAATGCATGGGCCTCATTCCCCACCTGTGTCCATGACAGCCATCACGAATCTGTCACAGTCCTCCTTGCCACCACGCAGGAGCATGACCTCAAAATGTTGTCACAGCTCAGACCCCCACTAGTCGAGATCAGACTTGGCAGGTTAAGATAGGACCCATCTTCCATTATGGCTCCAGGACAAAACAGGATGGGGAGGAGGGAGGAAGGCATAGAGCTCCTTCATGACGGTAAAGTTAGCGGTTTAGCCAACTCTGAGCACTTATAGCCAAAGCTGAAATTTGGAAAGGCGACTAGACGCTGCAATTTTGGGAAGGGGTGCCTAGGCAAAGAAGGGCGAGCCGGTCTGTCCCCAGCATGGCAGAACTGAAAGCCCTGACTCCAGACCACATCCTCTTAACTTCTCTGCAAAATTTACTACAGCTCTTAGAAGTTGCAAAGGAGTGCAGATCCCCTCCATGCCTTTGAATATACCCTTTGCTCTGCCTGGAATTCTTAATTCCCTCTTTTTTCACTTGGCAGACTCCTACCTATCCTCCAAGACCCAGTTTAATGTCACATTCTCCTTGGAACCTTCCCAGCTCTCCCACTCAAGATTAACCACTACCTTCACAATTCATGCTTGTTCGGCTGCCTCTCTCTTACTGGCCTGGGGTCCTTCAGAGGGCAGAAGCTGTGTCTGATCCATCTTGATAGCCCCTGACCCTATCCCAATGACTAGCGTGTCATAAGACACTTGCTAAGTGAATTCATGCATCTGGGTGGCCCAAGGCACAATGAAAGTGCTTCCAGGAGGGAAAGCTGTTGCTCCCATGAACTTTTTCTGGCTCCACAGTTTTAGGGAGACTCACTGGTACAGCCTCTCATCATTGCCTGTGCTATGGGCAGTGGTTTGTGGGTTGATCGAGAATCTGCCATGGGCCAGGAGCCAGTGGGTCTTTAAAGCTGGGAATGAAGAACACAGAATCAAAGCCAGAGCTGGAGATAGCAGGAAGAAGTCAATGAAGGGACCAGGGAGGCCCCATGGGGATATTCAGGCTTAAGACCTACATTTAGGTCCGCAGCATCATGTGGATGCTGTTTGGTGTGTTGCCAAAGGCCAAGAGGCACGAGCCCAGGGATAGCCTGCTCAGTAGCAGGGAAATATGGCTGGATGCACCACTAAACCACACCTCCCAGTCTCCCCCGCGGTTGGGTGGGCCATGTGACTCCATTCTGGCCAATCAAGACGGGGCAATGGGCCAAGGTAATGACCTCACTTGCGGGTCCATGCCTTAAGCATTTCTCCCACAAGCCTCTGCGTTCCCACTTTGCCCACTTGCTGGCTGAACAAGTGGGGAGAGTGGCCAGCCTCTGAGGCCCTGGAGGGAGGGAGAGCAATCATACGGTAGGGGCCCGAGATCCTGAGTTGGTGTGTAGAGGGGACCTACCCAGGAAAGCCACTCAATCAGGAACGTGCCCATGGACGGTGGTGAGAGGAAGAATTACACCTTGACCATGGGAAGCCATTACAATGTCGGGCTGCATGTCACAGGTGGCCTGGGCTGAGAGAGAAACCTCTTGGTATGATCAGAGTCTCCAGTCCCATCCCTCGGTCCTCACCCAAGTCAGCAGCAAGATGTTCGAGAAGCAGCCACGGCTGCTCAGGACGGCTCCCCTCCGTCCCCCGGACCCAGCACAGATGCTTCACTCACCGATGATGCCAAACGAGAAAAGTGTCAGCTGCTTCCCTAGCTTGTCCATGCTTTTTTGTAGTGGGGTTTTAGGCGTCTGAAAGGATGAGAACAACGGATTTGGGAGAGGAGATCCCAGTAGCGCCCCTCAGCTTCTGCCTGGCTTCCTTTATACCTTGAGTGGAGCGACAACTCCACAGCGGGGCACATACATACAAACTCACTGACCTCTGCACTTGAGGGCTGTGCATGTTACTGTCTGTAACATAGCTTGACAACAAAATCCTAATAAATGTTGTTCAATAAAAATAAATTTTTAAAAGCGTGAAAAGCATGAGCTCGTATTAACCACATCGTCCTCACTCCCAAGGAGTGGGCAGGGCCGGTATAGGTAGCTGAGAGGAATCTCAAACCCCGGCCTACCAGAAAACCAAAGCCACCACTGGCCCTTACCTCTTCAGCCTGCATCATCTTGAACACTTCTCCGAATTGGGACCTTTCCCCTGTTCCAATCACGACTCCCTGTGTTCAGGAGAGAGGAGTGTGAGGTGTGAAGCTGGAAGCCCGCTGGTGAGGGCGGCCAAGGTCCCTGGGGCTTACCTGCCCCTTCCCATACTGCACCAGGGTCCCCATGAAGACAATGTTGCTCAGAGTGGTGAGGTCCCCTCCACTTGTCAGCGGGCTGTCTGTCTTACTGCACGGCTCGGCTTCTCCTGTGAAGCTGGACTCGTCCACCAGGAGGTCCGTGACCTAGAAGGGGAAGAGACGATGGACTCTGCCCCTTCACCCTGAGAACGGATTTTAAAAGCACAGAATGGACCACCCTTCCCCTGTAAAACTTCTCAACTGGGCAAAGTCTCCTGTGCATAAGAGATTGTGCCCCTGACTGCCAAGAATGAAGTCTGACCATTGGGCATCTATATAGCAGGCATGCATCTCTAAGCAGAAAACATCCCTCTGCTAGGACCTAGAGTTGGGTGGTAAACTACTTTTTCCCTGGGTTACCTGTACTGACCTGGCAGGATATTCAAATGAAGTCTTGCCTGAACAAACTCCTAAGACTGTGTTGGCAGGGAGAAAAAATTAGATTCTTGGGGACCATCCCTGATACTAAGGGTCATTTCTAAAATCACAAACGAGAAGCCCCTGAGTTTGATATAGAATTCAGGAACTTCAGACATTTTTCTTAGGTGCATTAAAGAAAGCTTGTGTCTATGTTTACATTTGAACGTGATCTTTAGGTTCTGAGAAATCACTGTCATTTTGCCAATTTATCAAAATGACTGGTCTGGCATTGACCATGTCGAACAGAGGGGTGGCCCGGGAGATGCCTTTGGAGAGCAGCTGGGACTGCTGGTACCCAGGACAGATGTGCTTGCCTTTCCCGAACAGCTGTCTTCCAGAGACGCTGGCTCTGATGTCTGGTTTGGAAAGTGAGCCAGACTGCCCTCCTCAACCTCGGCCATAAAGTTATAGCTGTTTTCATGAGGATGTTCTGCCACTGAGTAATCCAAATCACATTTTAGAATGTAACAAAGTTTTATGTTTTTTTTTTAAATGTTGCCACAATTAAAAAAAAAAAAAAGCAACCAGGAAAACATAGGACGGTATCTGGCCCCTTCGTGCCATTTACCAACAGATAGCAAAGAACACATCGAAATCAGGGAACCAGGATCAGAACATGGCCTCAGATGCCTCGAGGAACTGAACAAGCTTTGAATGTGTAGCCCTTCTTGAAAAACATATCTTCTGTAACATTAGTTAAAATTTTAACGTAATGTTAGAAGAAACTTAGGCAATGGTTAATTTAGAATATACCTTTCAAAGCACCTGTGTCATTCTCCGGACACTCCACGTCCTGCCCACGTCGGAGACCCCCACACAATCCCTGTGCTTTGAGCATCACTGAACCAGGTTATTCAGTGACAGCCTAAGGTTACGTTAACACCAGAAACCACACACGGGCACAGCCCGCACACACACCAGGAAAGGAGGAGGGAGGTGCTCCCATTTCCAGAACTCCTATGATGTGCTAGGCCTTGCACAAAGCACTTCACAAGGCCTCTTAGTCTCCACCCCCTCCAAGAAAGATGCTCTTGGTTTCTCCATTTTACATATGGGAAAACGGAGGCATGAAGCAATTAAGTAACGTGTTCCAGGTTATACAGCTACTTCATGTCAGAGCAGAAGTGTGACCCAAGACTCTGGTTCCAGAAACTGCACTCTTAACAATCTTGCAAAACTAACACAGACCCAGTAGGTATCACTCAAGAGGTGAGTCCCCTGTAACCAGAACTGTGCCAGATACTATGGAAGACATAGAAGGGGTCCAGGGTGATCTCTGCCCCTCAGGACCTTGCCATTTCAGCAAAGAAGACCAACTTAGAGAAACCCTCTTCCTACAAACTCCCAAGAGAACAGTTAGATCAGCACTATTCAAGTAGGGGCTGGTGAGTTCTCTACACTCGCAAATTTTAAAAATTCATAACCCCCTTTTACAAATACGCACACTGCCCTGGGAGCCCAGGCCCCAGGGACGACAAAGGTTACTCACTGAATGTATAATAACCATGCCCCCCCTTCCTAACAGAACCCCCACTGGGAACGGTATCGGGGGTTGGGGGTGGCCAGGTGCCCCCCCCACACACACAATATTACTTCCCAGCCTCCCTTGCAACTCACAGTGTCTCTACCTTCTGGACAACGGGACATAAGGAGAAGTCACCAACAGTCCTGGGTAGGATCTGTGAAGGTGGCTGAGTTGACAGGCCCTGTTTACCCTTCCAGCTTCCTCCTCCTCCCTACCTGGGCCTTCATTATAGTAGCTCCAGGAGCCATGGTACAAGCATGGGAGGGCGGAATGAGGTGGCTGGGAGAAGCCCTGGCCCTTTGCTCCATGCTGGAGCCACCATATTGGCTCTGCACACTCCAATTCCGGTCTCTCATTATTCGAGAGAGGAGTAAATCCCTGACCCATTGAAGCCTATATATTTCTCTTAACTCTATTAACCACAAAGACAACCACCAACTGATCTTGAGTTTGTGTTTTTTATCTCCAGGACATCAAGGGCAAGTCAAAGGACTTCCTGGAGTAGCTCCTAACACAATGAAGGAAGAAACGGGGAGATGGAGTCACCCGGCACCACCGGCTGCCGACACCACAGACTGCAGGAAGCAGAAATCAGCACATCCCCATGGAAAGCAGGGATCTGGTTTCCAGAAAACACTGTCTAATGGGACATGTGATAATTTGAATCAGTTGTACTGACTTGGAAAATCTGGCTTAGGTTTACAGTTGCATAAAGTCTGAAGCACATGGAATCTGTACCTAAATTTATGTTTGTTCACATTTAAGTAACCCTATAACAAAAACAGTAAGTCCACAGTGGGAAGGGAACCCCTCTATTGACTGAATCTGGGAGCCGTATTATTACAATCTGATGTTCTTGTCAGGTCTGAGCTGCAGCAGAAGGCTTGGGAATGGGGTTGGGGGGATGACCTGGAAGAGGAGAGTGCCTAGGGAACCGGGGCTTGAAACGGGTCTTGAAGGATGACCAGACGTTCGGTGAGTGAATCAGACAGGGAAGCAAAAGAAGGCAAGGTGGGGGACTGACGATGCTTGAACTTGGTAATAAGACGCTTGGTCAAAGCAACTGAGAGGAGGGGGAGGCAAAGAGAAGACCTCTCTGACCCTAGTGCCCCACCAGCATCGACAGGGCAGCAGCCCCGTGTGCTGAGCATGGGCACCAACTCACCCTCTTTGGGGTCAGATTCTTGGGGGGTGTGGGGGCTGCGTCCCTGGTGAGGCCATGGCGGGATGGAGAGCTGTCCCTGCCCTTGAGCAGCACTGAATGGAGGGGGCACAGGCAAGAAGACAGGGGGCTTGGTCCCCGTGGAGCAGAGCACCTGTGGAAGGTGTGGCTGAGCTCAACTGCATCTGGCATTGCTTAAGAAATTTGGATAGCACCGTGTAAGTAATGAGGCACCAGGGAAAGTCTTGAGCAGAGAAGAGGGGTGAATGAGTCACAAAATCATGTTAGATGTTGGAAGAGGTAGCTGGCCGCAATGGGATGGGAAGCCTACGGTCCAAGAAATCCAAGTCAAGCGCGACAGCGGAAGGCTCTCGATGAGGGGTGGCGGGGGGCGGGGGCAGAAGAGCCAGCCAGGAGGAACAGGAGAATTGGCAGTAAGTGGAACTAAGTAGGCACGTGGAAATAGGCAGAGGTAAGACTCAGAGCTTATTCTGGTCTGCAGAACATCTTTCAATTAAGCATATTTAATCCTGAATATATTTCATTAAAGTCCATTTGGGATGGGCAGGAATCTTATAGGTTGAGACTCGACCAACACCCCAACCTTCCAAACCAAGACATGAGCTTTAACCCTTCCTCAGGTTTATTCGTTCTGTTTTTAAATTCCAACACCTTGATTTCTTTTTTTTCCCCATCCAGTGACATGATTTTCGTTCTGACCTCCAGAACTGTAGGAGAATACATCTGTGTTGTCTTACACCACTCTGTATGTAGTCATTTGTTACAATAGCCATAGGAAACAGAGATGGGCGGAACCCAGCGGCAGAGGCAGGGAGCTGGAAAAAGTCAGAAAAAAACAGCTGATCGCAGCAGGAAAGCACACAACGTGGGTGGTGACGGATGGGGGCTCTGCAGCCCCCAGACCTGAATTCAAAACCTCCTCCCCGACTTACGGCTGCATGACCTCAGGTCGGCTGCTCAGTCTCTCCAGGCTTCTGTGTCCTTGTGCTCAAGTCAGAAAATTGAGTGGTGTTCCCTTAAGGTTGTTGGGAGATGGAGGGAGGGAGTTTCTACCCAGTGGTTAGCACAGACCTGACTTCATATACACACACATATACACACAGACATACATTAGTTCTCTCCAGGGAGGCAGGGAGTAAGAGGGAGTGTCTGGACCAAGAAGGAACAAAGCTGGTTGTGTGCGTGTGTGTGTGTGTGTGTGTGTGTGCGCGTGCGTGCTTGTGAGTAGTTTCTGGTGACCTCCCAGGCACCATGTCAGCTGAGGGGGTGAGTGGCTGAAAGTAGTCAAAGCACAGAACCCACACGATACCAGTGGTCACCCAGAGGAGGTTGCACCTGAAGACAATTAAGCGCTCTGGTCACTTCCTGCTCATGTGCCGGCAAGACTTCTCCTGCCCCTCACACCCAGCCAGCCTCCCACCTCGGACGCAAAGCATTACTTGGAGCCCTGACAGATCCCATTCAAAACCCTTTTCATGCCAGAAATGGGGGAGGAAAAAGAAGGAGCAGTGTCCCTGCTCTACTGGCTGGTCCAGGTTAGCCTTCCCCCTAGACCTTGACCTTGGTTAACTGTGGGAAGAGAAAAATGTTTTGTGACCCCCTCCCCACAGGATGCAAAAAGCACTAGTATTTGGGGGACTTATTTTAAGAACCTGCCGTTTCCTGGACTTAAATAGCTTTACACAACATATAAAACTCTCCTGGATCTCAGAATTTAATAGCTGACACAAATATCCCACTGTGAATAAACAAAGCTATTGATTGTTCAATGGAGCTGCAAAATGCCAAAAGGGAAATCCGTAGTGTCTGTGCCTTGTGGCAAGGAAGAAAGCATTCTGTGCTGTCAATAGCATTTAACAGAATAGAATAGAATTTAACATATGCAAGTCAGGAAGAAAACTCGTTGAAACCGAGAGTTACCTGGGGGGTTAAACGCTGTTTCAGGGACTGCTGGGGAGGCGGGGAAGAGAGCACAGTGAAGCAAGCCACTGCTGATGCGCAACGACCGGTCACCGGGCTGAGCGCGTGTTGCAGGTCTTACCTCCTCAAGGTGGAACAAATGCTGTCCCCTTTCATAGATGAGGAAACCAAGGCCCAGAGCGGCCAATCCTTCCCCAGAGTCATACACCGGGAGGTGCAGGGCAGGGGTGTGAAACCCAGGGCCCCCTGATTTCCAACATATGCCCGTCACTCTCCCGTGTCAGGCACTGCTCGGGGCACTCCCCATCTCTGGCGTCATGTAACGTCACCCTACAGGCACCGTCATCCCCCAACTTACACATGGGGAAACCGGGGCACAGACAGGTTAACTAACTTGCTCCAGGTCACCCAGCTTGTGAATGACAGGCCCTCGGTTCAAACTCGGGCCAACGATCCTACAGTTCCTGAAAACACATCCTCCGGAAAGAAATACATCGGGGAGATAACCTGCCCAATCCTGATTCACTGAGAACTTTCAACAACTCTTTAGTATTCTTGCAAGAATTCATAAAATAGATGACCCCATCAACAGATCCCTCTGACCTGGACTTAACCTTTTCTCGGGAATCCGGGATTATCTCCGAGAGCCTCAGGGATTGTCCTGTAAACCGGTGACACCTGGATACCCACAAAGGTCAGGGAAACAGCTTGCCCCCCAACGCCGCCTGATGTCCCCAAACTACACAACTGTAGAAGCTTGGGCTACGAGTTACATCTTCATCGGTCTGCTTCCCTCCTCGTCATTCAGCAATCTGGTGTCTCCTCTTTCTGACATCAGAGTAGCTGTTCCTAGAAGCAACTCTTGCCTCATCTCTCAGCCTCAGCCTGGCTTAATTTGCTACTGCAACCTGCTGTAAACCAGAAACTCACGTCACCAAACTTTGTTAGGCTTTTACTGAAAATGGGAATATTTTATGAAATACAATTTGAGGGGCTTTGTGTTTACAATGACCTTGCTTGCTAACTTCATGCCTTGCGTATGTGCATGTATGTGTGTCAGCACACGTGTGTGTGTGTGTGTGTGTGTGTGTGTGTGTGTGTGTGTGTGTGTGTGTAACAGAGAATACCTGCCTCAGATAAGCTAAGAGTCTGCGTATCGCCCAGACCAGGGTTCGGGACCCCTCACCTCAGTGAGACGGATGTCTGCAGGGATCCGGTCTCCGATCGAAAGAGACACAATGTCTCCGGGAACCAGGTCTCGTGCAAGCAGATGTTGGAGCTTTCCTTCTCTTATGCTGCATTTGAAATGGGAAAAGGCAAAAAAAAGCACACTGATCACATCCCGTTTTTGCACAGTTTAATAAACCTGAGCAAAGAATAGAGAATCACACTTTTTCAGTTATGGACAAACCCTTGTGCCTTTATGGTTTTATTATATTTTAAATTCACATACCCTGAAAGACTTTTGGAAACGTGTGTGGCTTCTGGGAGACCCTGGGCCTCATCTGAAAAATGGGGTGACTACTGTTTACCCTGCCTGGAAAAAAGGTGGAGCCGCATGGCCTCCAGAAGCTTCTGTAGGTGTAGGTCAGCGGCTCTAAAGCTTCCTTAATGGAGTCAGTAGCTGGCAGCCCTTCTGTCCTCAAAGAAGACAGCACTGTGGCAATGGAGAGCTGAGTAGCGTGGAAGAGCCTCATCAGAGCCGGGGTTGGGGGGCGGAGCATCGTAAGTACCGGAGGAGCCTAGGACCTCCTTTCCCATCGGGCCATGACCCCTCCTCCCGGCTGTGCCGGGGACAATGCACGTGCTTCTGTGCACAGGCTCCGGCTACAGTCCCCCCCCTCCTCGGATGCTGCAGCGCCAGCTGGACTCCTGCCCCACCCCTGGCCCTCTTCGATTCCCCCCCTACCCAGTGGCCAGAGAGCTCTGAAAATGCAAAAATCAGGTCACAACCCTCTCCTGCTCCAAACCTCCAATGGCTTCCAATGACCTTGGACTCAAACCCAAAAGCCCTGCTCAGACCCCCTTGACTGAGACCTGCCTCCTCCCCTGTTCTTGCTGCTCCCTGTCAGGCCATCCAGCCTTTGAACACACCCAGCTCTTTCTAGTCTCAAGGTCTCGGCCAACCCTGGACGTTGAAGAGGGCATTCCCTCCTTCTTTGTTAACAGAACTGACTCTTGTTCAGACATCCACCCTTTCCCCCAGAGCCGTCTGTTCTAGGGAGGGGGTCCTGACCGACTGAGACCATCAGGGTGACCCCATCCCCTTCCCATGACTGGCTTAGGCACAGGCATGTTCCGTAACACTGGTTTTTGAGACATGAGTGGACATTTGCTGGGGGCTCAAGAGAAAGGTCTCTTCATTCTGTAGACACACACACACACACACACACACACGACCCCTTCTTCTGCTGGAGCTTTCCATGTGTGCCTCTGACGCCAGGAGCTGTGGCAAGGGTCTTGAGAGCACGAGGGGAGCCAGCCAGAGAACAGAGCCAAGGAGCCGAGGATGGAAGAGTGAAGAAATCGAAGGACCTGGTCCTTGGTGCCTTCTCAAACTAACCAACGTCACTGGCCCTCCCACCTCACATCCCTTGCCACGAGATGATACGATTTCTCTGGTTTGTGCGGCTGAGCTGTCCGTGTAGCCAAGAGCACCCATCAGAGATTCACATTCATTCATTAGGTTTCAACCTAAATGTCAGTTCCTCCCCAAACGTCAGGTCAGGGCAGCCTGATCAGCAGCTCTTCAGAGCCATTCCCACTCTTCTACCGCGTGCTATGGCATCTCTGGGAGGTTTTTCTGAGGCTCCGGGTCTCGGGCCCCATTTTGGCTTTAATGTACCTGCCACAGTCCAAAGGCAACTTGCTCCTTCCCTGTATTATCTGCCTCCCCTGGGAGGAATGTGAGCGCTCCGAAGGCCCAGCCCTCGCCTTCTGGTTCACCCGTGTAACCCCGGCACTATTCCTCCTGGCACACAGCAGGCGCTCACTAAAGATGCACTGAGGGCACAGAGGATGGAGGGAACCCAGGAGGGGCCTGTGTGGTAGGTGTTTCTTCTGGCTCGTACAACAGGCCTCAGATGCCGAGGCGGAGGCTGTTCATCTTCGGCGCCCTACCCGCCTGCCTGCCACCACTGCCCTTGAACATAAAATCATCTTTTAGAAGTGACTTCCGGGAACATCAATAATGCATACTATTCACCTGAAAGGCCAAGATTTGATATTTAAACTTAAGATCAGATCCTCAAATCACATAAATCATTTACATTTCTGCTTGTTCGTATGATGATGTCACACATCCCACATCTGGATTTCTGACAGCCTTGTTCGTCTACTTATTAAGCCCAGACATTTTTAGTGTCCCCCGTGAACCTTCTAGAATTGACTCACCTTCTCTCATGCTTCCACATCATCTTTTTTGTCTCTGTTATTCATTATTCTCTGCCTCGTATTACACACACACACACACACACACACACACACACACACACACACACACACGCCCCTCGCTTGCTGGCTCCTTGAGAGGTAGAACTCATCCCACCAGATCTTTCTATTCCCAGCCGTGGGGCACAGTTGTGCCATTTATATCCAAATATATGTGAAGGTTCAACCCAAACATCACCTTTCAGGAAACAGAGCTACCATATGTTTAAAAACCCTTCTGAAGCCCCTGGGGTCGTGAGATACTTTCAGTTACTGTCTTTTGAGCAACAGGTGCATATCTGGGAAAGACACACAGCCCGGACCTGAGCAGAGCTGGTCAGCGGAGGGGGCGCAGACCTGGACCTTTTCTGAAATCAGTCCATTTCTACGAGGAGAGTAAGCATGTGGATTACTGGCGTACTAGAAATTACATGGAGAAAAAGCCAGGCACCAAACCCTTTCTCCTCTGTGTGGGGGGCCCTAGCCGCTGCTCTAAGCCTCCGCTGTGCACGACTGCAGCCCCGAGCCCTCGCCGGCCAGTTACGCTAAGGGAGATGAAGAACTCACTTCCCCCGTCACCCCAGCCACAGCCGGGTCCTCGGGGGTCATATGTGAGTAATGGTGCCGCACTAGACAGCGCGGGTTACAGAACAACCCAGCAAGTTCTAGCACACAGCACTGCGGTTTGGTCCTTCCTTTCTCCTTTTTAAATATCTCTGGTGAGGGCTGTGTGATGGATAACAGGAGGCCCCGTGGAAATGACCAGGCAGGAAAGAGGCTGGTGGGGCTGCAGGGCACGTGGCCAGCTGGCGGTCACCCTTGGGCCATCTCGCCCCACAGTCCAGCGGCCTGAAGCCTTGGCCCGTTCCAGCCCTGCATCACCAGCTCCTCTCATTCCCTCTTGGAGAATTTATTGCAACCTCTGAATGCTCTCTGCAGGAAAAATGGGCACAGCTTTGCCCACCATACCGCCCTCTTCCCCAAGCCATTCCCGCTGGCTGTGGCCCCAGCCCAGGCACCCTGATTAGACCCTGATGGGAGACTCGAGGCCCAGAGAGGTAGAATGACATGCCCAAGGACACACAGTAATCTGTTGGCAGGGCAGGCACCAGGTCTCCCAACCCCCGGAAAGACATGGTGCTCTTCCATCACGCTACAAGGGACACAAATTTTGCCCAACTTTTGCCAAACTCACCAGCCCACCGGCTCCTCCGATGAACCAGAAAGTTCCAGGGAAACTCTGACTTACCAGTTACATTCGGGAGGAACCAGCTTGCTTAGCTCTTCTAGTGATTTCTCCGACCTGTATTCCTGGCAGGCAGCACATCGAACATGATAATCAAGGGTGGGAACGCCACACTGCCACACCCGGGTTACCCTGACCAAGACCACAGGAACTAATTACACACCTGGATGAAGGCGACAGTGACCACGATCATCACGGCCTAGGGAACAAACGAGGAGGCGTCAGTGCCCAGCTGCCAGGTGAGCGAGTGAATGAGTCCATGGAAGGTGGGGCTCAGCACCTCCCCTTTCCAAATAAATTTCCTTTCTTCTTGCAAACCAAGCACAAAGAAATTTATAAAACAGATGAGCCCCCCCCCCCAAAAAGAGGAGAAAAATCATCTCAAAATCTGGCATCCAAAGGTTCACATTTTAGGGTACCCTTTCAGATTTTTCCACATGGACATACAACACAGGATCCTATGATACAGACACATTCTTTTCTAAACAGCCTTTTCACACAACATATTGTAAATATTGTTCCACGATATCAGAAGATATGGACGAAGCTTCAGCCTTTTAAACAGAGGAACAAATACTATTGCTTGGAAGAAGCCTGCTTTTGTATTTTAAAAGAGCACATGACAGACAGAGGGAAGCAGGAATGACAGTCATTGAAAGGTATTCGATAGGAGCCAGATATAAAGGGTCATATATTGTATGGTTCCATTATATAAAATATCCACAGAGGTCACAGAGACAGAGCGGACTGGGGTTTACCGGGGGCTGGGAGGTGGGCTGGGAGGGGTGGGGAGGGGGAAGGGAGGGGTCTGGGGAGGGGGATGGGAGGGGTGGGGAGGCGGAAGGGGAGGGGTCTGGGGAGGTGGTCTGGGAGGGGTGGGGAGGGGGATGGGAGGTAGGCTGGGGGAGGGGGACTTCCTTTTAGGGCCGTGAAGTATTTCGGCGCTAGCTAGAGGTGGTGGTTGCACAGCGCTGTGAATGTGCTAAATGCCACTGGATTGTACACCTTAAAATGGTTAATTTTTTAACCATGTGACTTTCACCTAAATTAAAAAAAAATTCTTTTTAAATAGGTGCTCAGCGGTTACATCTGGGGAAGGGCTTACAAATGATAGCTTTGTGCGGCATGCACAGCGGGGTCATGGAAGAGGACTTCACTGCAACGTTGTTCCCCAAAGCAAGACACTAGAAGCCCCCCGGGGGTATCCACCAAGACAGTGATGGCAAAACGACCCAGGACACCTCCGGCGGTGGGGGGGGGGGGGCACAGGAGGATGACGATTTGCCTTCCTTTCTTCCTCCTGTTATTTCCTGTTTTTTTCTCCACAGCCACGCTCTTTTTCCTTGTATAATAAAATATGCCAAGACTCTGCAAGGCCCCTGGCAGCGGGGTCTGGGAGCCGGTGCAGGCTCTGCCCCCCCCCCCCCCCCCCCACTCACCAGGGCGATGCTGATGGCATCCTCATACTCCTTCGTGAGGACGCTCACCAGGGCGGAGGCCAGGAGCAGCAGGATGAGGGGGTTCTTAAACTGCAGAGAACACAGGGTGGCCGGGTAAGGGTGCAGGGCTCTCTTCCAGTCCCTCAGCTCTGCGCTCAGGGCCGGGCTTCAAGACCAGCACTACAGCGACCCCAGGGCTCGGGAGGAAGACCACCCCCTCCAAAGGTTCTCCTCCACCCGAAATCCGCTCCCCCCACCCCCGCGGTTTCATTGACACTGACTTCCTGGGGGGTCCTCCAACACTGTGCCTGTCCAGACAGCAGCCCTGGCCCTGCCTTGGAGTTCTTGGTCTCCACGACACTGAGCCTGTCGCGTCTCCATGACACTCCAGGTCCCAGCCCCTCTGGTGGCTTGCCAGCTCTGGTCCAGCATGGCCAAGGGGTCCCCTTTTCTACGCCAGGTCCCCAGGGCCATGCATCCCAATCACACCAACCTGCTCCTGTCACTGCCTCTGGGGGCTCCAGGGGTGTCCCTCCTGAGAACGGGTGCCGCAGAAACTTCCCGAAAGGATTTTTACTTTATTGCCTTATGTATCTACTCCCTCATTTCACAGATCTATTACATAGTAGCTCATGTTACAGCCCATTGAAAGGAAACATAAAGACAAACTCACAAAAACAGGGAGAGAGAGAGAGTGGACCAAAGATCAGGATCAAAGTAGGAGTTAAAATACCAATATGCTAGTCCTATTTTTGTGGTTTCAAAGGGGGCTGTGCATTTGGCCTCGAGCTTCCCAGCAGCCAAGGCAAAAAGAGAAACAAGATCAGATGTGTGATTCATGCTGCTCATGAAAAGAAGCACATCAATGTCATACCAGTGTGGTGCATGAAAGGATTTAATGCCCCTTACTCCCCACGCCAGGCTTGCTGGGCTTCATCTCCTCTGAACGAGCGACAGGACATTTTGGGGTAGGGTCACCAGGAGCCCTGAGTTAGCCACAGCATCTATTTTGAATCCTCAAGACTGAACAACTTGAAGACATTCCACCTTCTTAGCTACAATCTTTCTATGATTGTATCAAGAACTTGAAACATGCATTAAGGTTTCTGAGATGGACCTTATTCAATTAGCTACAGGCTTCTCCGGAAGGGTGGAGACTTCCGGATATAAATAAACCATCAGTTAATTTTGTGGACTCCGTAAAGCATTCCATGAGCATGAAGTCACAGATTAGAAAAAGGCCTTAGATTAAGACGGTTTCAGGGACACGTCACCCAAAAGCCAAGGGTAGGATTTGTTCAGACTTCGCTTTGAACAAAACTGTAAAACGGCGTCTTTGAGGCCTGTGGGGAAAACGGACTGCGGACTCGGCCCGTGAAGGGGACCAGGCCAATGAAGTGATAATGGTACTAGCGGGACAAGAGTATTGTCCTTACGGTTTAAAAAAAGGGGGGAGGCCAGAAAAAGGAACACGTCCTCTAATGATAGAGATACATAGCAAAGGACAGATGGCAAAAGGATTGGGTATCTTGAATTTGTTTTAAAATGCTGCAGAGAAAAAGGGAAGGATAAAAGTGGGTCAAATGGATGGGTCAAATGGCAGATAATGGATATGTGGGGGTCATTATATTATTCTACTTATGCATATTTTTGAAAATTTCCCTAATGAAAGATTTTTAAAAAGCTTTTGGCCAGTGAAGTCCCAATTTCGGTTCTGAGAGCATCTGACAGCGCTGGACGTGAGTGGGTCTGGGGGGATTGCAGAGGGAGGGGCTGCACTCAGTGCTGCCTGGTGGAGCTCACGGCCAAGGCCACACACTTGCCGGTGGAAGTGGACACACCCTTTCCTCAGAAATCCGGGTAGGATGAAGTCTAAGAGCAGAGGGAAACTCGAGCTCAGGAAAGCCCAGCGGAGGGTGCGTTAGGTCCAGGGCTGCTGTGGTAAATGACCACAGCCTGGGGGCTTAAAAGAACATTGTAGGCAGATTCTCTCACACTTCCGGAGGCCAGAACTCCAAATAGAGGTGTTGGGAGGGCCAGACTCTCTCTGGTGGTTCTGGGAGAGAATCCTTCCTGCAACTTCCAGCCTCTGGTGGTGGCCAGCCACCATGTTGTTCTTGGCTTGTAGACACACCCCTCCAGTCTCTGCCTCTGTGGTCACATGGCCTTCTCCTCCCTGCGGCTGTCTCCATGTATCTCCCCTCTTCTTATCAAGGACACCAGGCATTGGATTTGGGGCCACCCTAATCTGGTAGGACCTCATCTGAACGAGTCACACCTGCAAAGACCTTATTTCCAAAGGAGGTGCTATTCTGAATTCCAGGTCGACATGAGTTTGGTGGGGACACTATTCAACCTAGTACAGAGAGGAAAAACACCTCAGTCCAGCAGAGCGAAGAATAAGATTTCATTTCAGCCCTGAGCCCAACACAGACTTGCCACCCGGTTGGATAGAAGTGAGGTGAGAGATGCACAGACAGGGGCCGAACACCCAGCACGCACCAGGCACCGGGATTCTCCACGCCACCTTCTGAAGCTCGGTTATCCTCACATGAGCCCGGCCTCTCCTGCCTCAGGGCCTTTGCACTTCCCCCTCCTGCATATCCTTCCTCCAGACCCTCACGCAGCTCCCTTCTTCACTTCATTCAGGTCTCTGCTCAAAGACCGCCTCTCAGGAACCAGTCAAACGGCTCCCCTGAGCACACAGTCCAAAACAGCTGCCCCGCGATCACTTCTCCTAGCACCTGTCCGGACTCGTTTCTCCCCACCACACTCACTGGGTGATGCATTACATCTGCCCCAAAGCAAAGCTGGTCTGGCTGCCGCTCCCTGCACAGTGCCTAGCCCATGGCCAGGAACATGAAAAGCACTGACCTAGAACGAATGAGTCCATGAAATTGCAGGCACCCAGTTTGGGGCAGGGAAACCTGAGGCTTGGTGGGGTGAGAGCTCCCACTCAAGGTCACCTAGCAGAGCAGAGATCAGCACAGGTGCAAGTCCTCCTGTGCAGGTCACTTCCATAATGCCACCTGGCTCCCTGCCCTCCCTTCCCTTCAGGCTACACCCACCCAGGACTCCGGGAGCAGCAGGTCTATTTCTGGACAACAGGCCCCTCCAGCCATGGGCTCAGGGCTAGCTCAGGGGTGTGCAGTCCTGGCTGGGGCCACTCTTGAGTGCTGGGACCAGGTGCTGGTCTCTAGCCAGGCCTGGATCAAGTGCCACCTTGAACCCCGATTCCAATCCCATAGGCTCAGCCCTCACCTGAGCTGGACCTGGACAGTCCTTCAATACTGACATCACCAGTTCCCCTCCTTCCCCATCTTCAGACCATTCCAAGCACCTGCCCAGTCTCATCCAACACAAGCGAGTCACCTGGAGACCCAGCAAACAGATGCCAGACCCAACGGGAAGGTCCTACCACATGCCACTAGGGCCGTTCTGGCCATGGATGGCTAGACTCTTCCTGGCTTGAGGCCCTTCTAAGCCCACACATAAAGGAAGACAGGCAGAAAGGTGGTCTGCTACAGTTAACAATAAAGCCAACCGACATTTTACTGAGCGCTTCCCATGTGCCCTGCTCTGTGCTAAATGCTTCACCTGCACCATTTCTTAGCTTCTTCCTAACCCAATGACACAGGTACTGTTCAGTATCCCTGCTTGAAAAAGAAGCAACCTGAGGCTCGGAAAGAAACTGAACTGTCCAAGGATTCACGTAGGTTAGCCCGATCCAAAACCTGTGTTCTTAACCGCTACACTTCAATTAGGGCCAACTGATAGACATGGCATGGGGGGTACATTTGTTAAGTCCTTAACATGTGCTAAGCTGTCCTTTTCTCATGTAAAACTCAGAACAGTGGGTATGAGACCCATTTTCTGGACAGGGAAAACTGAAGCTCAGGGAGGTTCAATAACTTGCTCCAAGTCACAAGGCTAGAAACTGGGATTTGGACCCTCATCTACCTCTGCCTTATGATTCTGGGGCAACATGTCTTGGGTCATGCCAAGGCAGAATTCCTAGTGGTGATTCTCTTGGGACAGAGAGGTAGGGCAGCCTTGTGGAGAGCTCCCTGTCACTGGAGGACATGGGCAGGATGATCATAACACCTGGCACAGAGCAAGGGCTCAGCAAATGTAAAGAATTACTAAGTGAGCACAGACGATTTTCCGTACTCGTCGAGGATGGAAAAACACGGCCATCGGGAGCAGCTTTCCAATGATGAATATGCCATATATATATGCCAATATAAGATGAATAAGCAGGTTTCCTGCTCTAAGAAATTTAAGAGATCTCACTCCTGGAAAGGCCCTGGCTGGCGTCTGAAGGAGTGTTAACAGGGCAGAGGCAGGAAAGAGCACGGCTGCGGAAACGGGGGAGCGGTCCTGGTGGAAGGGGCAGCCAGAGCAGGGCTGACCGAGGCCCAGGGACAGAAGGGAGACCGTCCATCCCCACCGCCTGTGTCAGCTTGCTTCCGTGAACTCCAGCTTCCAGGAGCCGCCGCTGCTTCCTTCCAACCCTGGGGTTCCGGGAAGCTTGCGGGCTGGCTAGAGCCACCTGCGTACCCGGGAGCTGATTTGGGGCCAAATGCGTCAAGGAATCACATCCCCGGTGGGCAGAGACCTAACCAATGAGTGGCGTGGGGACTGGAGGAGAGTAGAGCTGGAGGATGCCGCAAGGAGGGCTGTGATTGGTCCCCCAACCGACCAATCACGAAGCTTTAAACGCCGAGCCAGTAGGAAGGCTGCTGAAGCCTGGGGCAGCCCGGGAACCACAGGCTGGAGCGACAAGCGTCAGGGATGGGAGGGAGTTCGGGAGACCAGGAGGGGAAAACGAGGCCGTCTGAATGCCTTCAGGTATCTGGGGTAGTCAGCCCATTCACTGGGGTTTCTGAATGGATACTGGGTAGGTGGTGGGGGTACTGACTTCTAGACCAGAACTTGCAGCCATGTGTCTTTCACCTCCTCCCAGTGGCTTCCAGGCATCCGACTTGTGCCATCCGTTCGGCACGGTGCCAGCACCGAGGGCAGAGGCCAAGAAGGGCTGGGGCTCTGGAGCCAGCTGCCTGGCTTTACTCCCTAGCATACCACTTAACTGCCGTGGGACATGAGGCTCCAGCTGCCAAACAGACTACAGGACAGTCAGTTAAATTTGATTTTCTGATAAACAAGGGACAATTTTTTTGGTATAATTATGTCCCATGCAACATTTGGGATATATTTATATTAAAGTAACTGTATTCATCTGAAATTCAAACTTAACAAGGCATTCTGTATCTTTATTTGCTAAACCTAGCAACCCTACACAGCCTGGGGGAAATATTTCAACTTCTCTGTTCACCCTCCTCATCTCAAAATGAAGGTTAAGAGGAAGATGAAGTGATGGGGTGTCTGGGTGGCTCAGTCTTTTAAGTGTCTGCCTTCAGCTCAGGTCATGATCCCAGGGTCCTAGGATGGAGCCCCGAATCGGGCTCCGTGCTCCGCGGGAAGCCTGCTTCTCCCTCTGCCACTCCCCCTGCTTGTGTCCCCTCTCTCGCTATGTCTCTCTCTGTCAAATAAATAAATAAAATCTTAAAAAAAAAAAAAAGGAAGACGAAGTGAGTTAATGCTTACTTATTTACTCACTCAGCATGGTGCCCAGCATGTGAAAAACCCTCTATGAATGTAACAACTATTATTCATGATCAAGGCTGCCTGGGTAGTTACAGATCTACTCGTGGCCATCCCTCCTGCTGGCTAAAACCAGCCTGAATGAGCAGGGAGCCTTCTTCATCTTTGCACCCCTGCACCCCAAGACTGGTCCAAGGACACCCGCAATCAATATTTAAAGAATGAATGGCTACTCCACCCTCTCTGGCTTACACAAGTCAATGCAAGGAATGACACCTACCTGATCAAGATATTTCTTCCACACGGGGTCGGTGTTATCAGCGACAAATTCATTCCAGCCATGGACCTGTCTCCGTTGCGACACCGAGAACTCAGACAGCCCATTTTCTAAGTCCACCTGGAATGACACGGTTAAGCACGGGCTCACCTTTGGGCCCTGAGCGACCAGGGTGCCCACCTCACAGAACTCCCCCTTCAGAAGCCAGTCGCGTCCAAAATGGACCAGGAAATTGGACTGTCCACAAAGGAGAAGGAACTTGTTCAAAGACCCCGAGCAAATAGGAACAGAGAGAGAAGAACACCCACAGGCCAGTTCTTTCTCAATTAAGACTGCACTTCTGCCCTATAATTACAGCAGAAAAGACAACCTTAAGCCTAAATTTCAATGAGTGGGATTGTAGCAGGGAATTCCAGAAATACAGAAACACTTATATTTTCTTCTTTAAAAAAAAAAAAACAGGCCTTGGAAACCTGAAATGCTGCAGCTGCTATACATCATGGTATGGGGATTCCTCAAAGAATTAAAAATAGGGTCCCCACACGATGCAGCAGTTACCCTTCTTGGTGAAGAGATACCAAAAGAGGTGGGTCTCGAAGGGATGTGTGGACACCAACGTTCACAGGACTGCTATTCTCTCTTTTTTTCCCCCTAAGATTTTTATCTATTTATTTTAGTGAGAGAGAGAGAGAGAGAGAGAGAATGAGTGGGGGGAGGAGCAAAGGGGGAGGGAAAAGGAGGGGGTTAAGAATCTCAAGCAGATTTCCCTGCTGAGCGTGGAGGCGGACGACACAGGGCTCCATCCCATGACCCTGAGATCATGATCTGAGCTGAAACCGAGAGTCAAGTCAGAGGCTTAACCACCTGAGCCACCAGGCGCCCCTAGCAGCGCTATTCTCAATAGCCAAGAGGTGGGAACAGCCCAGGGGCCCCGTGGTGGCTGAGTACACCGGTCAGGAAAAGGCGGACTATACGATCCCACTTACATGAGGCGTAGTCAGATTCCCAAAGGTGAAGAGGCGGAGGCGGGTGCTAGGGGCTGCGTGGTGTGCAGCAGGGAGTTACTGTTTCATGGGGACAGAGCCTCAGTTTTGCAAGATGCGAAGAGCTCTGGAGGCTGGCTGCACAAAATGGGCTCAATACTCCCGAACTGTACATCAACAATGCTTAAGACGGCAGATTTTACGTTGTGCATTTTACCATAATTAAAAAGAAAACAACAGAAAAAAGGCCCCTCCTTAGAAACAATAGCTAAAATTATTAAATCGTACATACACTGTGCCAGATACAATTTCAAGCCCTTTACACTAACTAATATTAAATTGATAATTATGTAAGGCAACTTTGTTGTTCTGGTTGCAGCACAGGTATCTTTGTTTTTAAAAAGTTGGCAACAAGAAAGTTGTACGGGGTGAAAGAGATGACAGGGAAAGCTGAACTGATTTCTAGATTCATTTCAAGAGAGAAAGAAAACCAAACTTGTTTGCCGGACAGGGAAGACATCTAGGTGAGGTAAGACCATTTCCTTCCCTTAATACTAACAAGCAGGGCTTGACTCTAAACAGATGTTTGAATTACTCTCAAGAAAACGCTGGCATGATGGGGCGCCTGGGTGGCTCAGTCGGTTAAGGGTCTGACTCTTGCTTTTGGCTCAGGTCATGGTCTCAGGGTCGTGGGAACGAGCCCCACATCAGGCTCTGGGCTGGGTATGGAGCCTGCTGGGGACTCTCTTTCTCTCCCTCTGCAACCCCCCCCCGACTCTCTCTTTCCAAAAAAGAAAGAAAGAAAGAGACAAAGAGAGAGAGAGAGAGAGAGAGAGAGAGAGAGAGAGAGGAGGGAGGGAGGGAGGGAGGAAAAAAGGCTGGCACGAAACACCGATTTCTAATTGTCTTGAGAGTATGGCCTATGCCCCTTTATTAGTGGATTTTTATTTGCTTTCCCAAAGTGTGGTGGATTATGCGTAAATACACACACAGACACACACACACAGAGACACATACAGACACACACACACACACACACATCACTATGCTCAGTTTTCTAAGTAAATTAAAAACAGAAGGCAAGCAACATTCTTTAGCCTCAGAGAAGAGCGTCATGGAGGGAAGATGTTGTTTGGTTGGGTGTTTGTGTGTATGTTTTCTTGCATTGGCCAGGAAATCAAATTCACTTGAGAAACATGTAAGGGTTTGGTTTCAGTAAGTGCAAACACCCTGGATTATAAAGGAGGAAGTGAATGAACAGGGGGTGATTAAAAGTTTGAACTTTCATGTCAGACCACCTGGATTCAAGTCTCACTGTGCTCCTCTGGAACCATGTGGGTTCCCATGTTCTCTGGGTCTCCGAGTAAGAGAAACAAGGATACAGAGATGGGGGAGGGTGTCTGTCCTCTGGCAAGGGCCCCATGAGTGTTGGTTCCGTTGACAACAATGATGATGACAGTCCACGTGGGATATCAAAACAGGTCAACATCAGCAGCATTTTCTAGCAATGATGATAAAAATGTATAATTTGTGTTGCTTTCTTCTGAAGCTAAAAACCTTACCATACTAGCCTCAAAGGCAAATTCAATTCTTACATAAAATGCTTTGGCCAAATCTTCTTTGTGGCATTTGCTTGCCTCCTTGGGTGACAGGGCTGCAACTGTTTTCTCTTTTTCGATGGCTTTCAATTCACACTGCCCACCAATCTGTGAAAAAAGTAGGATTGCTATTAAGTGAATTGTAATTTTGTACTGATATGCTATTTTCAAAGTATTAATGTACACAGAGAAAATGCACATATCTTAAGTACGGCGCAAATTCTCACAAACTGACCCATACAGCCAGCCTCCAAATCAAGAAACAGACATTACCAGCCCCTAGAAGCAACTCGTGCTCCCCTCCCACTGGAGGAAGGGTTATGGCTGTCATGGTCTCTGTCACCCTAGGTGAGTTTGGCCAGGTTTGAACTTTATATATAAAAAATAACCTGCAGTAGCTACTGCAGTAACAGTTGGCCAGGTTTGAACTTTATATATAAAAAGTAACCTGCAGTACCTACTCTCCCATGTCTGCCTCCTTCCACTCGGCGGTGTTAGTGAGATTCACGCATGACCTGCACGCAGGGATGGCTGCTAATTTTCATGGCTCTTTAGTATTCCACTGACTGAGCCTATCACAATTTATTTATGTTCTACTCTTGATGGACCTTTGGGTTGTTTCCAGTTATTGGTTATTACTGATGCATCTATTTTTTTTTAAAGATTTTATTTATTTATTTGACAGAGAGACACAGAGAGAGCAGGAACACAAGCGGGGGAGTGGGAGAGGGAGAAGCAGGCTTCCCGCTGAGCAGGGAGCCCGATGTGGGACTCGATCCCAGGACCGTGGGATCATGACCTGAGCCGAAGGCAGACGCTTACGACTGAGCCACCCAGGTGCCCGCTGATGCATCTATTTTTAAGCAAACTTATTTAACAGGCAGGAATGTACCAAGCTGACAGAGGAGGGCAATAATGAACACATTTAGAATCCTGATTCCTGAACTTGTGGGATCTTGGTCAAGTATGTGCCACATTGTAGAGGAAGCCCCCTGATGATGACAGGTGATATCACAGCCTGTTCTGTGTTTCATCTGCAATAACCCAAGGGAAGGGAGGAACCCAGCTGAGTTCTGGGTATCTGGCAGGCCTGGGAAGCACTCATATGAAATACCTGAAGGGCATGGGAAGACACCATAGCACAGGAGATCTCAATCAGGAAAATGCTAGGTATTTTTGCAAAGTGATTCCTAGTATTCCAATCCCCCAGGACATGATAATCATCTTTTCCTTTTCCAGCAGGTTGTCAGGCACTGGGAAGGAGGAAGGGGAGGGAGTCAGTGGCCAACCTCTTCCTTCAGCTAGAACAGAGATGGCAAATTCCCCTCTTCCTTCTTGCTGGCCCCCCAGCCCCAGTAGGGTCTCCCAAATGCCTTGTTGCTTAGAAACGCTATGCCAACCACATCCACTTCCTGGGATTGTTCTCACTTGTGCCATGACCACAAAGCACGGACATGATTACATTCAACAGGCGCCCCCAACTTTCATGAGCTCTCCTTAGGTCAGCATTTAAGAGTATCGTGCATCACAAAATGAGACAGAACTTTTTTTTTCTGTTCATAAGCTCTGGTTCCATCACCCCAAATCAGACACTCCGTTCTTGTTCACACCACACGTGGACTCAGTCCTGCCCGGCTGGCCATTCCTGGTCTTGCCATTTCTTTCTGGCCATAACCGCACCCAATTTATTTTTTATATAGCATCGGAATGACCCTGAAAATCATAAATCCAGTCCCCCTGCCCCCCCCCCCCCCCACACACATGCACCATGCTTGAAACATTGGATAGATTCTACTTTCTGTCAGGATAAAACCCACGGTTTTCCATATGGCTGCAGCAGACCCCACCTCATGTCCACCCTCCTGCTAAAACCCTAACTCTTAGACCCATGAAACACAATGCTGCCTGTTGGAGGAGTCCTGTGCCCCCCAGGAACAGGCTGCTCCAGGGCTCCTGCGGGGGGTCCTGGTGGCACATTCATGGTCACGACACTGTTACTTTCAATCAGGGGTTCTCAGCCAGGGGCAGCTTTGTCTCCAAGAGACTCTGGCAATGTCTGGAGATCATCACTGGGGGACAGGGGTGCTGCTGACCAGAGTGAGTGGAGGCCAGACAGGCTGCCAAGCATCCTACATGCATCGGGCACGCAAAGAATTACGTGGTACAAAACCTCAGTAATGCAGAGGGTGAGAAACCCCGTGTTAGACGTGGAAAGATTACTCTGTCTTGATGTCTTCCCAAGCCAGATCAGAGCCCGCTCCACCCTCTCAGCATCCTGGACCTCTCCCTGATGGCACCTGTACAACTGCCAGCAAGTGATTATCACTGAAATGCCACTATCCGTGGACAGTGCGGCCACTCTGCAGGGTGGCAACCAGTGCCTGGGACGTGGGGAGTGCGCCATGAGCATTTCTCAGTCATAGCAGAGGACACCACTCGAAAGGCGCACGCCCTCAGCTCCACTGAATGGATGACTGGATGCATGCTCTCAACCACAAGCCTCAGTTTACCCTCACCCTAGTGTTGTCCAGGTCACACAGCCCAGCTCCACTTGCCAACACGTCCCCTCGGGCAAGTGACAACCTCTCTGATCACAATTCCCTCATCTGCAAAATGGGCATGATGATGCCTCCCTCATAGTGCTTTTGTAGAATCGAGCAAGCATGGGCACGTGGAGGGCTTGATGCAGTCTAGACCCACCTCCTTTCTGGGCTACACATTGGAGACGTACGCGCTCACTTCTCTCATTCACTATAGTGGAGCTTAGGAAGGAGTTGTCTACACTCGCCTTCTGGCCTCCCATCTCCTTCCCAACCCACTTTGGCCAGCTCCCTCCCAGGTTCCACGGCTGCTGGGGCATGGTGTGGACCAGAACACCATCAGTCAGGGCTCACTCTATCTCGCTGTGGGGCTGTCAGTTTCAGAAAGCAGAGCCCTTGGATACGGGGGTGAGCGCATGCCCCCTGAGCCCCACCTGCGTGCGGGGGACCTCTGCCCGGGATGCTCACATGTGGCTGGCTCACTCCCTCTAGAACACACACTCATCTACGTCCATCTGGTGAGAATCTCAGCGTGTGCCCACTGCCACTAGAGTGGCTCATCCTGACTGAGGACAGGCGCTCTCTCTGGGGGCACCCCTGGTCCTCGCTTCCCATCAAGCCTGATGCGGGGGGCAACTCTCCCTTCTCCTTTATTCTCTCTTTTTTAATTAAGATGAAATTCACATAACATAAAATTAACCATCTTGGGTGGGGGGATGGGTTAGCCTGGTGATGGGCATTAAAGAGGGCACATTCTGCGTGGAGCACTGGGTGTTATGCACAAACAATGAATCATGGAACACTACATCAAAAACTAATGATGTAATGTATGGTGATTAACATAACAATAAAAAATTAAAAAATAAAAAATAAAATAAAATAAAATGAAAAAAAAATTAACCATCTTAAAGGGAACAATTCTGTGGCATTTAGTATAGTTCCAATGTTAGGCAGCCACCCCGTCCATCTAAGTTCCAAGACATTTTCATTCCCCCAAAAGGAGAGCTGGGGTGCACGATCGATTGGTCACCCCCCCCTCACCTCCCCCAGCCCCTCGCTGCTGCCACCGACCTTCTCTCTGTCTCGAGGGATTTACCTATTCTGCGTATTTCATATAAATTGAATCATACAATATGTGATCTTCTGTGCCCCCTGGGTGATATCCAAAGTGTTGTTTGCCCATGGCAAACAGACCCACGCGGGCCTGCCAGGGCTGGTGATGATGTGGGGCTTTCCCAACCCCTAAGGAAATGGTCTGGAACTTAAGGACTTAGAGTGTTCTTAGGGTGTTTTTACTAAGCAAAGATGGCTCAGAGCTGACGTTTAACCTAGGGGGGGCTTCCAGAGGAGCCACCAAGGGCAAATATGACATTTGCTGAAAGATGAGTTGGCTGACAGAGTGAGCTGGGAGCTCACTGCGGGGCAGGTGCTCACGTGGCACCTTGCAGGGCAACGAGCCTACGCTGAGCCAGAAGCCAGGCTTTCTCTGCCTTCCCGTCCGGCTCAGGGGATTGAGTTCATTGCAAACACTTACTGAGTTAGACCCCAGTGATTGCTTCCCTGTTTAAAGGGCTTAGACATTGATTTCTTTAAGATATTTGTCCAAAACCTCCCCTGTGCCTCCATTTCTCCCTCTGGAAAGAGAGGGTTTCAATAGCAGAGACTCATAAGGTTCCGGGGGCTAACAGAAAACTGGACACGGAGCCCCAAGTGCAGGGTCTGGCCCCTGGGAAGCATAAGTGAACAGAAAGAAGGGGAGCTTGCCAAATATTGCACAGGACACACATATACTAAAACATTACTCACTCTTTATCAGAAATGCAAATGCAACTGGGTGTCTGTGCAAATCTGGTGACACTGGGAAGGAACAAGCCAAGAGACACTCATGCCCCAGGTGGCAGTGTTGTGATGGGGACACCTCATTCTAGAAAGGAGACATGCAGGGGCGCGATTCAGAGTGGGGGTAGGGCTCAGGCCTTGAAGAAGGTAGAGGAGTGAGTTCCCTAGGAGGGAAGAGGGGGCCAGCCGGGCTCTGGAAGAAAAGGCGGGAAGGTGCCAAGCAGAGCAAATGGTCCATTTGGGGAACCCCAAGTGCCCTGAAGTAGTGACAGAGTGAGGTTCTGACAGGTTTCAGAGGGAGGGAGGGAGCCAGAGAGGAAGTCAAGGGCCCAGGGAGCCACACAGCCCTGACTCTTCAAGAATTTCATAATGTGGGGCGCCTGGGTGGCTCCGTTGGTTAAGCGACTGCCCTCGGCTCAGGTCGTGATCCTGGAGTCCCGGGATCGAGTCCCACATCAGGCTCCCCGCTCGGCGGGGAGTCTGCTTCTCCCTCTGACCCTCTTCCCTCTCGTGCTCTCTATCTCTCATTCTCTCTCTCTCAAATAAATAAATAAAATCTTTAAAAAAAAAAAAAGAATTTCATAATGTGGGTGGAGGCAGTCATTGGAATCAAGGCACTTGGGGAGGAACAATGTAAGGGTCACAGCAACCCAAGAACAATCAGGCAGCCAGGGTCATTAAGGAGGTAACATTTGAGAGGAGGGGCAAATGACCCAACTCAATGCAAATTCTTCCTTCTTTCCCAGACTTGTGCAACGGTCTCTCCTAAGGCACATGTCTGTGAATTACCCGGTTATGCATTAGCCTGGTGGTTCTCAATGAGTGGTCCTCAGGCCAACATCACCTGGAACATGTTAGAAAGGCAGATTCTCAGGCCCTACCCTGGATCTAATGGATCAGAAACTCTGGGCATGGATCCTGCAATCTGTGCTTTAAGAAGCTCTCCAGGGGACAGCACTGCACTCCAAAGTTGCAGAACCACTGGGGTCTTGTAAAAATACATTACTGTGGCCTATCCCCAGGCCAACCAACTAAGGGGTGGCACTCAGCCAGCAGGAGTCCTAAAAGCCCCCCCCCCCTTTTTTTTGGTGATTCTAATATGCGGCCAGAGCTGAGCTGAGGATGCCTAGCTGGGAGATGCACTCAAAGAGCAATTCTATACGGTCCTGGTCTTAAGGGGCTGCCATCTTAGAGAGAGAAGGCCAGGGCCAATGGACCAAGCACCAGACTGGGAGCGCTGGGCTGGGAGAGCTGCGGAGTCAGTTCAAGCAGGGAGGGTTCCTTCTGCTTCCCGGGGGAGGGGTGAGGACGAGACCTGAGGCAGCAGGTGCCCCCACATCCTTCTAGAAGTTGGGCAGACAAGAGAAGGAGATGCCCAAGGAAGGGGTGGCTGAGAACAGTTAACAGGTCATAATGAGGATAATATATCACAACCCCAGCAATAACATGTAATGCAATGATGCAGCAGATATAACAGCTAACATTTTGATATCAGACATCTTACCCAGCATTTGACATCCACAATCTCATTAAATCATCCCTGCAGCCCTTTGAGGTGGGTGCACTTTTTTTGTTTGTTTTTTTAAAGATTTTATGTATTTATTTGACAGTGAGAGACACAGCGAGAGAGGGAATACAAGCAGGGGGAGTGGGAGAGGGAGAAGCAGGCCTCCCGCCGAGCAGGGAGCCCGATGTGGGGCTCGATCCCAGGACCCTGGGATCATGACCTGAGCCGAAGGCAGATGCTTAACGACTGAGCCACCCAGGCGCCCCAAGGTGGGTGCACTTTTAATCCCCATCCCACAGATGCGGAGATGGCTAAACTGGCCGCCTCCCAGACCAGCACTTTGTCACTGTGCCATAAAAGACGAGAAAACATCTTGGCAGGAGTTGTGCTGAGCAAAGGGCAGAAGGGAGAAAGCACATAGAGAAACACGACTTTCTGGAACCCCCAAGGGGAGTAGGGGTAGAGGCTGGTGGGAGCAGGGGAGAAGCTGAGCCTGAATGATGCCCCCAAGAGATGTCCCTGTCCTGATCCCTGGAGCCTGTGACCATGTG